ACGTTCCCGCCACATACTTTTGGGGCAGATTTGCGCAGCATCGGATTTTATACATTAGCTAAGTTGTCTTCGAATAACGTTAACAACGTTCATCTTTCCCCTCCCAGTCTTCACCTCTATAGGTCTTTATGCTAGGTGATAATAGGAAACCTGTGCGACATGATACGTTATGTCAATTAGGTAGTCTGGAATATAACGAATCTGGAACCTCTGCTTCGGGAGCAAAGTGTTTCAACGAGGCAAAGTCCAAGGGAGTGGGTGTGGTCTCAGGAGGATGTCCAATGAGGTCGCCTGTGGAGGATGGAGACATTCCAACAGTGTGAACACATCAGTGGATAAAATACTTCGCCCAAGATCCCTAGAAAATTGGGGTATTGAGCATTGACTTCCTTTATGCAGGACATTTCATTTTTTTTTCTTGAGGTCCTGAGAGGTTAGATAATCAGGACGTCATGAAAAGTAATCAGACATCTGGAAAGGCACTTTGAAGTAGACTGACCGGTGCAGTCGCGACGTGAGCTTGGTCTGGAGGAAGGTATAGAGGGAGGAGAGGAAGGCGTGGCAGTGGGCGGAGTCTTCTGAGAACCCAGTCCGATTTGCCCATACGCTCCCTGACCACACCAACCCACTGCATGTGACGGGTGAAAGAGTGAAAGGAGAGAAGAGGATGAATGAAAGATGATGAGAGAGAGACACAATTCAACATCTCGAAATGAGAATTGTAACAAAATCTGAAGTGGCTGGCGAATGGTTTTCCTGTGCTAATACGACGTGTCTCTAAGAATGATGAGAGCAAAAGTGAATAATTTACAAAAGTATGAGTAAATGTAGGAGTTAATGTGTGAGTTCATGACTATTATGATAGATTGGGAAGAGGGGATTGTTGTTGTATACTTTACCTTCAGCGTGTGCTCCTTTGACTGTGTGGGTATCCAAATTGAGTGAGATGTGGTTATAAAACTCGCCGCTTCTTGAGAGATAATAGGAAAAAAAAGATACTTACTTAGTGGTGAGGACCCAGGCAAGGACCATGACCTGAATGTAGTAGTTGTCCAAAATAGCGAAGTTTCTTTCATTTTTTGTATGCAGATCTGTCCATAACTATCTGCATACTATGCTATTGAAATACACATGTATCGCTCATCAAGACAAGGTGTTCATATTACCACGTCTACCCGCCACTGCAGAAATTATGAGGAGAGTGGCATGATTACAACCTCTCGTCAATGTCAGCCGCGCCCCAGCTCCGCCCCATGAACGAACAATTGTCTCTGTATCCATCAGCAGTGAGCCCGAGATGCGTTGACCGTGACGTACACGGAATCCAGTCAACGCGCTCTCGGCCCCTCCTCTAATCTCGGCAGCCGCCGCCGACGCCGTGCGAGAGTACTCTGACACCCATGGAGGAGAGTTCCACCGTTTCACACTCACTCGGCTATCTTAACCCTTCTAGTACATTCTCTTTATATGTTCTCTGGTTTCTTTTAACCAGTTAATATTCCTTCATGTTACCCTCAAGCCTAGTTTCTAAAGTAAAACGGCAACATAAATTTAGAAGATACTATACACGCAGTGATAGGCTACACATGATCTAGCTGCGATGATGAATTGTTTAAACTATTATCAGGGCCAAAAAACTATTGTTCTAGTGATTATGAGAATTACAAAACTATTTTTCCAGGATGTAATGATGTGGATAACATGATGCATGAGACCCCTACCTCGCTGCCAGAGTGACATTGGTCTCTGAGGGACACCGTGGTTCAACAGCTACGCCTCAATCAACAGATAAGTACCCGCCTCTGCGTAGAACACCGCCTCCTCTGTGTTGTCGTCATGGGACCAGTGGAGGGTGGATGGGGGGATGAGGAGGAGGAGGGGGATTGTCTTTGGTGTCGGGGAAGATGGAAGATGTGTGTCGTCTGCAGACGAGACACAGCGGAGCCACTCGGGCGGGAGGAGTCTGTTTCTCCAGGATTTGCCCCTCCTCCTATCTGTTGGGGGTCAATTATACGTACACCGTGGATTCGGTCAGAAGTAAGGACTAGACGATGAAATTTTTTGTACGTACCTCAGCTGGTGTTTTCTTGACAGACTGAGAGGGATGAGGAGCTGGAGTAGGTGGTGACGTCAGAAGAAGGTATACTCTTTCCTTATTAAAAAAAACGAGACACAAAACCACGCATGAACGGCAGAGGAAATTTTATGGCAAGAGTAAATTTATAGGGCAGAGTAAATTTAGAGGCAGCGTAAATTGAAAGGCAGAGTAAATTTATAGGACAGAGAACTTTTAAAGGCAGAGGAAAGCACTCAATCGACAGGCAGACTAAATTAGAAGCGAAAAAACCTTTACTCCAATCCCATTAGCTCCATGTGACGTACATTACTACCTTGGAGGCACGTCGAGGGGGAGAAATGGTGATAATGTGAAGGCTCCGCTCTTGGTGTTGCCAGATAGAGGAGAGGGGAGAGGTTGAGATCGGCCATCCGTGGTGAGAGGACAAACGCTCTCTTTCCTTTCCCTACCTTTACCTGCCTGGATTAGAGAGGAGGGAGAACACAGCTCATGTCGGTGGAACACCTCTCTAACGACACCTCTGAAATTGAGTGGAACATTCAAAAAAGGACACCTTCAATTCCACTATATCTTCTGCCCCTCAAGATTCGAGAGTGTATTCAAAATTACAATAAATTTTTAGAAGGCAACGGTTATTTAGTATACGACTGTTCAAGTCTCAAAGGTGTTCTATAATGCGTCTGCCCCAGAGGACCGTAGTGTATGCTGTCAGTCTCATTTCAGGTGCCGTACGCTACCTGAGAGGTGGAATCTGATGTGATCGCGCCAGGCCAGAGCGGTGATTGATGAGGGAGAGAGAGGAGAGGAGGGAGGAGGAGGAGGTGGAGGTAGCCATGTCCTCACCTCCCTCCCCACTCACCACACTGGTGTTTCGGCACACTCTGAACAGCGACGGAATGAACATCCTGAGGAAAATGAAGGTGCAGAATTGCGTGAATGCTAGAGTAACTATACCGAATGTTACATTCAGACTCCAGCTATAGTAGAACTAATATTGATGGTTGATTGTCTTTTCTCTTCCTTTCTTTCTTCTTCCACTCACGTCTTAAAGAAATGCAAAACCGTTAAACCCTTCGTAAGGGAGAAGGTTACAGCAAGATGAGATAAACTGACCTGGTGAAATAACCTCTGACCTCCCCAGTCTCGTCTTCAAGAGCCATTTCTCTCTCCTCCCTCCGTCTCCTCTCCGCTCGGCCACTTCCTCCAGTGGGTGTGTGGGGTGCTTCTCATTGCTGACTCCGCCCTCTTCAATCATATACACCTGACGAGACACAAATATTAACCAAAACGAAGAATGAGTTGCCCTGGTGTACATGTAGTTGACTTGTGTTTGCCTGCGTCCTTTCTACATACCTCGTCACCAAGTTCGTTGACACATACAGTATAGCAGCAGTGTAAGGTGTGTTGTGCAATGAATAAGCAGACATACAGGGAGGAGAGAGGAGAGCCGGGAGAGGGTGGGGAGTGGAGAGTGTGATGAAGTGTGTGAGGACGGGGAGTGGGTGTGGCTCCAGGCACTACGGAGAGAATGAAGACGATCGGAACCTCAGGACGATACGGGGACAACTGAAACGCCGCTGAAGAGACAGAGAGAGAGAGAAGGAGTTTGTCAAAGACTGGTGCGTGATGTGGACACACACATAGGGCACGGCTTGTGTTGGAGAATCGTACAACGCAATGCATCCCCGCATTTTGATGCCGTAGGCACAACTGCCAGGAAAGCAAGAGGGAGAGAGATGAACGAATATACAGTACTGAAAAGGATTCCAAATAAAGCACACCGTCTATACAAAAAGCACATCGTTCTCTGTCCGTACATTACCATCCAAAGAAGGGATAGGCCGCTGAATAAAAGATCCCCAAAGTTTCCTTATTAGGATGGGGTGTCACAGTAGCAGTACTGTATGTAAGCAGAGAGTGAGAGATTAGAGACCTCTCGGCCAGTTGTTCCTCTGAAGAGCTCCTCGTGACGTATTTACTTCGATATCCACCTCTCCCTCCCCTCCTCCTCCTCCCTCTCCTGCTCGCTGCAGAGCAGACGACAGCTGGATGATTCTCTCTCCGCAGACCAGAGGGAGAGGTCAAAGGTCAGGTGGCCTAGCTCTGCCGTCTTCTTCTTTGCTCTTCTTGTCCTTTGTAGAACCTCACATAGATGACGGCAGGAGAGAGAGAGAGAGAGAGAGAGAGAGTGGTGAACTTTTGAATAAGGGCACCTTGGAGACATTGAAAGTGTCCTCTTTTCAGAGGGATTCTTTGTGTAGTATACTGTATATACCTAGGTACGTAGTATAATTATTGATACACTAATGTAGAATAAACCATTGACCCTTATGGAGAGGGCTCCATTGTCTGGGATTTCACAGCGTTACGGTAGAAGAATTGCTCAACTGACCGACGATAGGTTTGAATGAGTTTTATCACAGTCTCTCTCCGACTGGATCACAATGCAGAGTCCCCCTCCACACCTCCTCCCTCCATCACGCCCTCCCCAGCTCACACGTGACCCCCCACTCTCACACATCACCTCACTCCATGTTCCAGTCTCAGGAACACGTCGGAGCATCACTCCTCGGAGATCGCTGTACCACCGAGAGAAGAGAGGGGAGGCAGTAACAAATATATCAGGAAATTTTTCGCACAGCAAAGAGAGGCTTACATCATGCAGTTACAGCGAGAAAAAAGACTGCTGCCAAGATGTGTATAGTACTTACGTTGCTAGAACTACTCAACTCACCACTTTCCTGCAATCTTCACAGTGACGGTAACTACCACGCCATCACGAGTCATTCTCTCGCCTGGCGCTCCGGCTGTGGCTGGAGCAGGGAAGAACTACAGCTGGACTTTCTTTATTGATCGCGTCGCCAATCTCCAGACAATCGCGATATATTAACCCTTTTCCGACTGGTAAATTTATCACGTGCCACCACGCGGTTCTTTCGGAAGCAACGCGCGAGCGGGCAGCATGTCAGAGGGAGGTATGGAGAGTGGAGAGAAGCAGGCGGTAGCGAGGATACGCGGCCAAGGCGAGACCTGAAGAATAAAGCCAACGAATCTTCAAATGTGAGCTGTACGTCTCACAATACCTGGGCTCAGGTAAAATTGCCCACCGTCTCTTCCAGTTTTTGTTGCATAATTGTGGGAGATGTTCTGTTTGTTTAGTTCATGAGGAGTTTTCCTGATCCCCATACCCCATTCCTCTGTCCTGGTTCCATTCCCCCGTCCTGATCCCATACCCCTGTCCTGATCCCATACCCCATTCCCCCGTCCTGATCCCAGCACAGCGGTACCAGGAAGCCATAGAGTGGTACAGCAAGGCAATTGATCTGGACCCGTCCATCGCCGTGTACTATGGCAACCGCAGTTTCGCTCATCTCAGATGGAGAGCTATGGATACGCCCTTAGCGACGCCACTACAGCCTTAGATATCGACAGAACGTACATCAAGGTACAAGGTACTTTGTAGATTAATATTATTAGCTGCAACATTTGAATATGGTACTCTTTAGCGGAAAAAACTGTAATAACTTTATTCTACATTTTTGCTACGTCAATGAACTCCACAATAAACTTGCTGTGACTGTTGTTTTTTTAATGTACACAGGGCTACTATAGGAGAGCGAGTGCAAACATGGCTCTGGGGAAGTTCAAGAAAGCTCTTACTGACTTTGAAGCTGTGAAAAAGGTGAACTGCAGATGCTGCACGCTTCAGACACAGAAACCAAATTCATCTTTCTCTCCTTTCACATTTCTCTCCAAAGGCACGGCCGAAAGACCAAGACGCTGTGAACAAGTACAACCAATGCAACAAAATTGTTCACCAACAAGCATTCGCCAAGGCAATCGCCGTGGAGTCCTCCAAGAAGAGTGTTGCCGAATCAATCAACCTGGACACAATGGGTGGGTGTGGTCACGTGATGTCACATGATTTCATATGATGTCATGTGACCTCAGTCGTGGAGGAGACGTACGAGGGACCGAGATGGGAAGAGGGAGAGATGGCGGTGGAATTCATGACTGGTCTCCTGGATTGGCTGAAAGATGAGAAGAAACTGCATCGAAAGTATGCGTACAAGGTTAGACAGGGGTGGTGTCCTGATAGTTTAGGACAGGGTCGTGGAATGGTGTCCTGATTGTTTATTAGGACAGCGTTATGTAATTGTCGAAGGAGTCCTGATATCTTTACTTGTTTTAGGACAGTTGTTTTGAACTTGTCGGACCGTCACTTTTCTCTCAACTTCCCCTCAGAATTGAGTACACACAGACACTCCTCTTTTTCCACTCTCTAAGAGTTAAATAAAAACCTACCTCACAGCTTTTAATATCAATGAGTAATCCGTGTAAATTGATCTCAATAATAAAAAAAAAACTGTTCCCCTGCAGATATTGCTGAGATCGAAGGAGATATTTGAAGTGCAGCCGTCTCTGGTCGCGGTCTCAATCCCTGACTCCAGTGACAGGTTCACTGTGTGCGGAGATATACACGGACAGTTTTACGATCTTCTCAACATCTTCACACTCAACGGGCTGCCTTCACAAGACAACCCATATGTATCCTCAACTGCAGTCATGTGACCTCACATGATCCCGTGACCTTGTTTGTTGCCTTGACAACTGTTGCCAGCTGTTTAACGGAGATTTCGTAGACAGAGGTTCGTTTTCTGTGGAGGTCATCCTCTCGCTGCTAGGGTTCAAAGTTCTCTATCCCGACCATTTCTTCATGTCTAGAGGTGATGTAATAATGACATCATACGTAATTTAACTCTTCCTTCACCGCTGACTGAATTACTGAAATGCTTATAGATTTAACCCTTTATATGTGTGTAGATTTAGATTTAACTCTGTTCAACTTCCAATGGAAATTTAACCATTTCCCCGCTGCAGGAAACCACGAGAGTATAAACATGAACCAGATGTACGGGTTTGAGGGAGAAGTGAGGGCGAAATACTCGCAGCAGATGTGGGATCTGTTCACGGAGATATTCAACTGGCTCCCACTGGCCCACCTCCTCCAGTCCAGAGTACTGGTGACGCACGGAGGGCTGTTCAGTAGGGACGGAGTGAAGGTGTCGGAACTTGTCGACATCGATCGCAACAGGCAACCTCCGGAGGAAGGTTGGTACTCCACTGTACTCCGCCCTCTCCGGAGGAAGGTTGGTACTCCATCCACTGCCAACAGTGGACCACTTATGATAGCATGCCCGTGTATAAGTGGCTCACACTAAAAAGGTCCGCTCAATTATGCAGGAAAAAACGTTACGCATTATTGAAACCGTAAAATTATAGTTTTTACCGTATTATGTCTCGTTCATTTTGAACGTGCAAAACGTTTATCGCAGATAACCTTGTCTAGAGTGCCATGGTTGCGAAACGTTTGCTCAACTCATGAAGTTTCGGACAAGTTGGAAACGGAATGAAAATCTTTTCGTTCCCAATCGCGAAGTTTGTTCCACTGTACCATTCTCTCTCCCCTCCAGGACTCATGTGCGATCTCCTGTGGTCGGACCCACAGTACATCCCCGGGCGAGGACCCAGCAAACGAGGGGTCGGAGTTCAGTTTGGCCCCGACGTCACCGAGGAATTCTGCTCCACCAACGGAATAGGTACGTTACCGTGGCAATGACCTCTCTGACCAACGAAAATGAGACTCCTCTCCCTACGCAGATCTGGTGATAAGAAGCCACGAGGTGAAGGAGGAGGGATACGAGGTGGCTCATGGTGGGAAGTGTATCACTGTTTTCTCAGCTCCCAACTACTGGTAAGTCTACCTGCCCCCCTTCTCCCAAGTGTCCTTTATAGAGAGGTGTCCCTATGTATTAGTATGGGGCAGAGCCAAGTGTCCTTTATAGAGAGGTGTCCCTATGTATTAGTATGGGGCAGAACCAAGTGTCCTTTATAGAGAGGTGTCCCTATGTATTAGTATGGGGCAGAACCAAGTGTCCTTTATAGAGAGGTGTCCTATGTATTAGTATGGGGCAGAACCAAGTGTCCTTTATAGAGAGGTGTCCCTATGTATTAGTATGGGGCAGAACCAAGTGTCCTTTATAGAGAGGTGTCCCTATGTATTAGTATGGGGCAGAGTCAAGTGTCCTTTATAGAGAGGTGTCCCTATGTATTAGTATGGGGCAGAGTCAAGTGTCCTTTATACATAGAGAGATGTCAGTTGATTGCAGGGTCGAGGTTTTCACTGCCTCTCTCCATCTCTCTCCATCTCTCTCCATCTCTCCGACTGTTTGCAGTGATCAGATGGGCAACAAAGGAGCATTCATCACTCTTTCCACAGACCTCAAACCTCAGTTCACCACATACGAGGCCGTGGTTAGTCAATTACATCATCATTACATCATCCACAATGACACAATCGTCAAATTATGTTTCTCTTCAGCCACACCCAAAGAGAAAGCCTATGCAATACGCCAGTCCCTTATTTGGCCTTTTATCATAATGAAAGTTTTTGTTATTTGCTATGATGTCATTTATACGGAATGGAACAGAGACATGAATGGGGAATGGAATTATGTGGTATGGGATCCTATGTCTTTGAGTGATGCACCAGCTGACCCTCTGGGGGCGGGGCCTCGTTGAGAGTGGTCTGGCTTCCAACCGATGAAGTAGAGTATTTGAAGCGTAGCTGAAACTCCATTCTCTTCGGCTCCAAACATGTCTGCAGGTAAAGTGTCCGGATTACAGTGGAACTCCTATTAATGAGGACACCTCTCTAATAAGGACACCTTTTCTTTCACCAAGAATAACTTGCGTGCAATTTAACCCCTGAAATAAGGACACTTAACTAACATGGACATCCAGATTACTGGGGTTCCACTGTATGGTGGTGTTGTTACCATGGTATATGGCGGCAGCAGCCGTCAGGGTGGAGCGTCTGATGTAATGTCTGCGGTTCCACGCACAGTTGCTCTCCCCCATCCCTGTAACATGACATAAGACAGAGGTCACATGATGCAGTCAGATGACGAGAGAGGTCAGATGACTATTATTGTCACCTTTGAGGTCTTGAATCACTTCGTACATGGAGGGGTAGTTCACCTGAATCTCATCCGTATCCTAAACAAGAAACAATATAGGGTTTCCTCTTAGGAGGAGGTCCGAAAACTAAGACTAAGAGCTATATAATTATGTGAAACATGCAGGTCTTGCCGGCTTGAAAATCTCATCAAGTATAATATACTAGCTGGAAGTTTTAATAGCTAGAGTAGAGAGAGAGAGAGAGAAAGAGAGAGGAGGGAGGGAGAGAGAGAGAAAGAGAGAGGAGGGAGAGAGAGAGCTCACGATAGTGGTGATAGTGAAGCCAGCTCTGTTGAGGAGACTTCCGATGTCAGATACTTGCACAAATGGAGATATGTGAGGTGAGAACCCCTGAACGAACAAGAAAGAGTTGAATTTTTCGTACTTTTAGGCTGAACCTATCCCAATCTCGCCCAAATTTCGCTGTCCCCCCTAAATAAGGGTGTGAACGATTTCGCATTTGTTGTAGGCACAAGAGTGGAAATAGGGACAAACCAACTATCCTTAATACTTTGACTACAGTTGGAGTATGGAATGGTAACATGTTCCATCTTGCTGAACCTATCCCAATCTCGCCCAAATTTTGCTGTCCCCCCTAAAGTAAGGGTGTGAACGATTTCGCATTTGTTGTAGGCACAAGAGTGGAAATAGGGACAAACCAACTATCCTTAATACTTTGACTACAGTTGGAGTATGGAATGGTAACAAGTTCCATCTCGCTGAACCTATCCCAATCTCGCCCAAATTTCGCTGTCCCCCCTAAGTAAGGGTGTGAACGATTTCGCATTTGTTGTAGGCACAAGAGTGGAAATAGGGACAAACCAACTATCCTTAATACTTTGACTACAGTTGGAGTATGGAATGGTAACATGTTCCATCTCGCTGAACCTATCCCAATCTCGCCCAAATTTCGCTGTCCCCCCTAAATAAGGGTGTGAACGATTTCGCATTTGTTGTAGGCACAAGAGTGGAAATAGGGACAAACCAACTATCCTTAATACTTTGACTACAGTTGGAGTATGGAATGGTAACATGTTCCATCTCGCTGAACCTATCCCAATCTCGCCCAAATTTCGCTGTCCCCCCTAAATAAGGGTGTGAACGATTTCGCATTTGTTGTAGGCACAAGAGTGGAAATAGGGACAAACCAACTATCCTTAATACTTTGACTACAGTTGGAGTATGGAATGTGAAAGGAAGGACAGGCCAAAAAACGACCCTGAACACCTTGACTATAGCTGCAAAGATTGTTTAACACAGGGTGGCCTAAACTTTTAACCAACCATCTTGAAAGACTACTATCTGCCAGTGAACTGTTAGCTGTCAAATGTATTATACAATGAGGTTGAAATTGTGATTGAGTAGCCAGCTACATGTGACCCCTCACCCCTTCCCTCTCCATCTCGGCCAGCTGTAGAGAACTCCGCAGTTCAAAGAGAGTATCGCCAGCAAACATGGCACCCACCAGAGGGGAGTCTGGTCTGAGGACTCTCCACACCTCCTGAGGAGACAGGAATCTCTAGATAAAGAGCACCTGGACATTGAAAGCATAATTATTCAGACCTGTCCCTTAATGTATTAGTATGCGGCAGAACCAAGTGTCCTTTATAGAGAGGTGTCCTATTAAAAGAGGGTCCTTTTTTCAGAAGTTTCACTCTTTAATAATGAAATTTTTTATAAATAGACAGAATCACCTTCAAAGCACCAGGTAGATCATTAACCCAATGCAAACTGCAATAAAAAAAGCAAAAGAGATTCAAAAAGTGACGGAGACATATATACGGCTCTTACCTGAGACTGGACATGATGAGATCAAAGCTATTGTCAGAGAAAGGAAGGCAATGCTCCTCATCCACCACTGCACCATCAACTGGTACACTGCGGGAGGAGGAGGAGGGAGATGGCGAGAGCTGAAGAGAAGAAGAGTAAAAATAGAAATATTGTGTAGACAAAATGACAAAATTAACCCTCATCACTTAGCAGCAAAAAAACATTTCACAAGTATTTTAGATTTGATTGATCTGTGAAATAGTGATGTATAAGCGAAGACTCAACGTTTAACTCGCATGTTTTCTTCTAAACTTACTCACCAGTGCATTTTCTGCCATGTCACACTGCACCAGGCAACCAGTGACATCACTGGTGGTTGCCGTGGCAATGTGACTCCGCCCACACCCCATGTCGAGAGCCAGGGGAAAGTACCTGGTGACGTCACACACTCTGTCCACTATCTGGGAAGCAACCTGCACCGGACAAAATTATTGACCTTATTCCCCCAATGAATTTTTTTGCGTTTGCTGCTTGGTAAAATATTTCTGGTCCACCTCGTTCCGAATGTAGTCGTAGGTCTGTGCGTCAGGACTGGCGCATGCTCTGTTTTTCTGACGTATCTTTGCAGTTCTGTCGAACACGTTCATTGCCCCGCGGCTGCTTGCTCTTCGTCTCCCTGGATGATTATATACGACAAAAGACGAAGTTTAGACTTTCTATAGCTCACGTGCTCACCACGTGACAGATCATGGTTCCTTCCCCGAGCCTGGTTTTGGAACAGCTGCAGAGAGCGAGAGTTGGCTAGTCTTCCTGCACGAGCCCCGAAACTGTTGCAGAAGACGGACATGCCCACTTTGTACAAGCGCATGCGGTATCACCGCGGCACTGTAAATACGCACGTGTGGTAAATATAGACGGATCCATAATCGCATGCGCGTGGGTAAGCAACCGAGATAAGTGCAAATGTATTATAAGACAATACACATGTTGTGAAATTACATTCATAATAATAGAGAAAGTATCCAAAAAAGTTCAATGAGTTCAAAGTTCAAAGCATGATTGTTCAGTATCGTCCGTAGTAACCGCGAGAGGGCGGTGGTCCATATCCGTAGGGGGACCTCCCTCCTCCTCCTCCTCCTCCGTAGGAAGACCCTGATGGGGGGCCATAGCCGAAATTCCCCCTGCGAGGGGGCGGTGGGGGTCCTCCGTACATGGGGGAAGCGTAGGGGGGGTACATGGGGCGGTATCCACCATAACCTCCAGCGGGCGGGTATCCTCCTCCTCCTCTTGCATACCCCCTCCCCTCCTCCGCCGCCTCCGCTCCCATAGGGGTTTCTGTACCCTCCTGGATGTCCATACTGTCCTCTGTAGGGGGAGGAGGACAAGGCGGCGAGAGAGAGAGAAAAAACAAGAAGGGGGAGGGGAAAATGAAGAACTCACAACACCCAGAAACAATGTCTGGAGGCTTCCTAACAGCGGCATTTTGAATGGAAAAAAACTAACTTTTTGGAGTAAATTTTGTGATAAGACTAGGGAGATTTCTTTAAAAGAGAGTGGGATAAAGCTGTGAGAAAGCCTTGTTGAAACCCCGCTAACCTGGGGGGTCCAAATCTCCCCGGGGTTCCACTGTGGGGTCGGTCGTATCGATCGTATCGTGGCCTCTTGTTCTGAGGGAACGAAGGCAGACCCAGCGCATCGTCCTTGTACTGCTGGATGATCTTGTTTGCCGCCTGGCCGTAGATCTCGGTGAAAATGACGTCATCGAAAACATTGTCCTTGGCAGGGACATGGAAGTTGGCTAGAGACAACAGAGGGAGATAAAAATGAATATATAGCTGTTGCACAATATTTACAACTGTTCTTGTCATAACCAAAGGCACTAATCCAGACTTTCCCAGTGGTTCAGAGCTTTGTCGACACTCAACTCTCGTGTTCATTACACTACTGTATGCCAAATGCCCAAAATTCGAGGATACGACAAAAAATTCGTTGTTACAGTAAAACGCTCTGAGCCAGTCCGCCCTGTGTGAACGCAAGTATTATACTCAAACAGCAATGCTGGCCATGTCACTCAGTGCAGCCAACTGCCATGGCGCTTTCTCTGTCGGGGAACACTTCCAACAAATGAAGCTTCACCCATGAAACTCCAGTCCAAGCCCAGTGATCAATACACTCTTTTCAACACACAATGTTTCGATGCAGACAGTGTGTTCGATGTTCTTGTAAAACCAGACTTCCAGTGTTTCGCAATCCAACCGATGGCTACCTCATGAGCAATCATCATCTTACTACCATTTATGGCAGTTTTATGACTGAGTGACAATGACCCCATAATATTTTGAAGCTCAAGGCTGGTTTATTCAAAGGAACGTTGCAATTGTCTTTACGTACGTACGAAGGGAACAGAAGTAAATGATGTAAGAGAAAGAGAGGGAGAAAGGGGGGAGGGGTGCCTACCACACACTCTGAGATCATCCAGAGTTCAGAAGTCCTTCACCAGGTAGAGAGGGAGGAGGGGAGGAGGGAGAGAGAAGGAGATGTTGCATGCTCACTAAATACTATCGTACTCCATCGTTATACATACTTTACAACGCACTTTATTGTTAAAACGCACTTTATCGTTTGAGGCCCAATATTTTAGCTTCTCCAGAAATACAAGGCAGGAGAATGATAGGCAAGATTTGAACTCCACACGCCACAAAAACTCTGCTCATATGAACTGCAAATGTACTCTGAAAAGCCCAATATCAAAAGCAAGCTGGTCAACTACGTATATGACGTGATGTAATCCCAAATACGATGGCCTGTTGAGAGATGGACACAAACACACACACACAACAAAACATACAAACAGAAAAGGCAGGCAGACGGAAGCCAGAAGAGACGCACGAATCAAGGCAGACTTTTCTTCCCACGTCGGAACAGAGTTGCAGATGTCTCAACATTGGAACGGAATATTGCAGATGTATGCTTCAAGCCAGATGTACAAGCAAGAGACTATGCTTCAAGTCCAGGAGTCATAAAGGCCATCAAGGCGGACACGTATACAGGTCAGACTTACACACTCAGTAAAAATGCCAGATTTTTACTCCCGAAGGCAGGGCGAAGAAATAATGCTCTACGCACAGTATATAATCAATGCTCTGTTGGTTGAGTGGTTCAACTGTGGAGAGATGACATTTTTAAAACACAACTATTAGTTTCCTAAGGTTGTCTGTACACACTGAAGATTGCCACGCCCATTTTGTCCGGTTTTCCAAATGCATGAACTTAACACTTGTGCAGAAATCTGACGCGATGAACCTTTACTACTTACTTTGCTCTGCTATCAATCTGGTGAAATTATTCCGCTAAATTCATACATACAAACGCATCTTGCAGTTCATGGTGCAAGTCACAATATGCACAGCGTGTTTTTTCTAATGATGCTGTAATGCTGTTTGGCTGTGGAGAGATGACAATTTAAAACACACGAATAATGGCTCTCCTCATCTCGAAGATAGCCACACCCCCTTTCTTCAAATGCAGCCGTAAGCCCTTGCCTTTTACGTACACAAGAGGCCAGAATCCAATCCTTCCTTGTCCAATCTTGTTGTAGTTTTAACCCTTTGCTTACTGGGACTCCTTGCACATTTATATTCCTCACACGCTAATCACTGCCTTCAACATGTCTTGAACAATGCACAAGTGAAGTCTGCCTCTTTCAACATTCACATTCTTCACTTTTCCCTCTCTCCCCTCAATTCTCTCTTTGCACCCCCCCCCGCCCCCTTCTCGTCCATCTCTCCTCACCCCTCATTGCATTGAGGGCGTCCTCCGGCACAGGGTCCCCCATCTCCTTGTTCCTCATGGCGGTCCTCTTCCTCAGCTCATGGTGTGGCGGGATCACCACGACAGCCTTACGAACAAAGCCCTCGAAATAACCCATCTTCCTGTACTGCGCCTTCGCATACACATTTGTCTGTGGTGAGAGAGAAATTGAGGAGAGAAGGGGTTAATTTGTGGAGGGTAACAAGCATTTGTCTGAGGTGAGAGAAGGGGTTAATTTGTGGAGGGCAACAAACGGCACAACTTTTCCAACTTTACACTGTATAGCGCGTGCCTTGCCAATTGTAGAAATGTGAGAAGAGGGGTTTTCCCTACCTGGTCGATGATGTAATTCCTGGGGATTTTCCCTGCCATAACGAGCAGTCTGTTGAGGATGTCTGTGGCCTTCTTGATGAGCATCTCCCAACGTCCGTGGTAGTTGGTCCTTCGAGCCAGCCCAGACACCTGGTTCACGAACACACAAGTTAATATAATATTTAAACCCCTAAAACAGGACCTCCACAATAGAGACCCATCTCTATAAGGACACTTTTCATACCAATACATAGCACATAATTACCTCTGAATATAAAGGACACTTTATTCTGCCCCATACAAACACACAACTCCATAATTCCTCGGAATTAGGGAAATCTTAGAGTTAAGGACACTTTGCATGTCTCCAAGGTGTGCTCTATTTAGAGGTACCACACCGGTACATACATGGTGTTCTGATCGTGAGGTGTCCCAAACTTGCCTTCATCTTGTCCATGATTTGGTTGGTTCCGAGGATTGTGTATCGTTTCTGGGGGAACTCTCTGGCGTGTTTCGAGGCCCATGTTGTCTTTCCACACGCCGGCAGGCCCACCATCATCACCACCTGAAGAGAGAGAGAGAGAAGAGAGACGGGACAAGTAAAATTGGAGAAAGAAGGAGGAGGAGGAGAAATCTGGACTCTTCAAATAAAGAGCACTTCTCCATAAAGTACTGCATTTCAATCCAGTATAATATATTTGCATAAACGTTAGTACAATTTCAACCTCTGAATTAAGGAAACCTAAGTAGAAAGGACAAATATCGTCGTCCCAGCACGGATTCAGACATTCCAACTGGATTATCAAAATTATAAGTCCTTCTCAACATCACATGGATATTCAACTTGGTCCACATGCGTATTACATGACAACCACATGTTTGTAAACAACAACAGTCACTTTTTCTCAAGTAAGGATTGTGTCCCACTCACCTCACAGTCCCCAATGTCTCTGGGTCCAACCATTCCTCGCTGCTTGTGGTTGCCATTGGCTCCCTGCAGCGGCAGGTACTCCTCGAAGCCCTCGGGCAACGGGCGGTACAGTGGCTGGATGGGGAGATGGGTTGGAAGAACAAGTTAGGCAACACGTAAGTCAACTGCAACGTAACTTTTTCTAAATTGGTAAAATTTCATAAAGTTATGAAAGGAATTGTTAGCAAACAACAGGTTTCGGCACTCGTAGAACATTTTTATTGGCGAAAGTTACCAATTTGCGAAAAAAATATTTAGTCACACCGTAACTTCCAAGCTTTGGTATTGCTCCTAGCCAAATGCAGTGCAACACATAAGGCAACTAGACCCAAGTGCTAATAATAGAAAAATTCAGCAAGAGCTAGTCGCTGCGTAACACGTACCTCGCAGAAGTTCATTCGAACCATGACGTTCTTGACTGAGATGTGCGGGAAGAAGCATTGACCTTTGACCTTGTCTTCCTCGAGAGTGAAGGCTATTCCGAGATGGTTTCCGTTTCTGGCAAAGGAGATACTCGGGGGAGACGACTCCAGGTCCTGGGTGGGAAGGGGAAGAGAAACAATTTCACAAATGTACATTGTCGTTAAGTCTCAGTTCTATCAAAATGTGTTGGCAAATAATCTGGGGAAAGACATTAGCACGGAAAACCTTCACTACCCAAATTTCCAGCACAAATATTTTTGATTTTGTAATCTCAATCAACAAAACAATGTGCACTTATTACCGACTCAGGGAGAAAAATAATTATTGAGGTTTGTAATAATATATACGCCCACCAGAAGACAGGTGATGACATCACCGTCTCCGTACGGCTCTCCATATTCAATGTACTGGTTATTGACTACTGCCTTCCCCGTGCAGCCGTAGCCGTAGGAGAGAGGAGCTTCCCCGAGATCCAGCCCCGAGTCTCCTGTTGACCAGCCAACCCTGGGGGGAGCAGCAAGGAAACAGGACAAGAATCCCAACATTTGCCGTTTTTGTTCTTTCCTACGCGCGCTTGCACTAACTAGTCCATGTTTGTAACGTACAAAATAAGTGGAAACCACTTGTATGGTACAACAAGTAGAGTGCTGTACAATAAATCATACCCTATAATGTGCCGTTGCTGGGGTAACGTATACCAAGTATATAGTAGTGAATGGTTTGAGTGCTGTACTTAATTTTCCACCAACCTTCGCCCCCACAACACAGTATTCATATCACACACCACTATCATGCAAATACACTACCACTATAATATATCCATAGTAAGTGTAGCATGCGTTCACATCTAGCATACCTTAAGTCTTACTGCAAACACCTATGTATGTATGTACATATGTATATACCTCAAGGCATTGGGGTGTTCCTCAGTGTCTGCCAGGTCCACGACAGTGATGTACTCTAGTATCTTCACCTCGTAGCAGACCTTCCCTCCCCGGGCTCCCCAGGTCGCCTTGGCCGCCGCCCACAGGTACGCGAACCCCTGCTGCGAGAGTCCGTGGCCTGTGACTCCGTCGGGACTTATCTTGAAATAGAGGTCAGAGTTGACTGGAGAGAGAAAATGAGTGGGTGTGGTCAAAGTGTACCACTTGTACAGATGGAATTAAATCTGAGACTCAAAGTCCAACACTTATGGCCTCAGGTAGGAAAGTATATACTGCGGCTAGAACTTGCGCAATAAGTCGATCACAAATTTTGAAACCTTTCGTGTAAATAGTTGTGGGCAGGCAATTTCAAGACAAAAGGCACGAAATTCAACGTCATGTAGGTGCAAATAGTTTTTTCCACAATCGTTGCTGTTTTGACACGTGTGGATGCATCACTCACAGCGTATACAGGTGCTACTCACGGAAACGAGTGTATACTCTGAATATAGGTATGAGCTACGTTTTCTCATGTGTGGTGTTCAAGTGCCACCAAAAGAGGATTTATGCGCATTATAACTACTGTAGCCTCTAGCTACAAGAAGTAAACAATCTCACAGTTGTCAAGAGTGATGGTAGAGCCGTCCGGAGGCTGGAACTTGCCCTCTCCCTGAACCAACGTACTCACTGACTCCTCACTAAAGTCATCGCTGGGGTCCTCTGGGTCCGGCGCCTTCGTGGGATCAGGTCGCTCATGGCGATCTGCGGAGATCGTGTGACAGTCACATGACTTTGTGTGGGAGGGGTTTGACTGACCTCTGCTGTCTTTTCGTCGGTCGTCGTCCTCCCTCGGCCTTTTCCGTTCCTCCTTTTCTCCGCCCCCCGTACCAGCTACGCTTGCAGACTCTGTGGTAGAATCTGTATTCCAAATAGAGCACGTTCAATTCCAATTAGAGCCCACCACAGTACACTCCAATAAGAGCACAAAGGGCCAATTCTAAATAGAGCCCACTCAGCAGGTTCTCACCACCCTATACTGACCTGCAGTGGTGTCCATTGTATTGTCTTTTCCTTCTTTTGCCTCCTCTTCTGTTTCTCCCCCGACTTCATCTTCCACCACCACTTCATCTCCTTCCTCCACTCTCTCCTGTTGCGTTTCAAAATATGACATCACAAACTTTGCAATTTTCTCGGCAAATTTGAAACTCACGTGAGTCGCTTGCTCGTCATCAGCCTTAGCTTCTGAGTCTTGCTCCTGCTTTACCTCAGCCATAGCTTCTGAGTCTTGCTCCTGCTTTACCTCAGCCATAGCTTCTGAGTCTTGCTCCTGCTTTACCCCAGCCATAGCTTCTGGGTCTTGCTCCTGCTTTACCCCAGCCATAGCTTCTGAGTCTTGCTCCTCCTTTACCTCAGCCCCTGCCGCTTCTGTGAAGGTAGATTTCACGCGCGAGGATTCTATTTAGTGCCCACCCACTTACCGCTCGCCTCAGCGGCTTCTTGCGCTGTTTCTGCGTCTTGCTCGTTTTCTTCCTCCTGCTCGTTTTCTTCCTCCTGCTTTACGGCATCCCCCGAGCCCGTCGTGTCTTCTTCTCCGTCAGCAGGAGGCTTTTCCGTCACGGCCTCTGGCTCATCCGCCATGTTTTGTTCTTCCTGCTCTTCAGCGGCAGTGCCCCCGGCGACTTCCCCCTCCTTACCAACTTCGTCCTCAGTCACGGCCTCAGACTCTTCCTCTTCTTCTTCCTCCTCCTCTTCTTCCTCGCCGTCCTGATTCTCCGCCTCTCCCCTCTTCTTCTCCTCCAACGCTTCCCGCAGTCGCTGGCCGAGCGCCGCCTTGTTCCCGTGGAGCGGTTGGTTTAGCTTTTTCAGCTCTTCCCGTAGTTCCGTCACCTTCAGCCCGGCGACGTAGGCCTCGGTGTCGCCCGTGGTGCTCATCACGATCGTGGGATCTCTGGCGAGAAGCTTCTTCCTAGCTGATGGTTGGGCCTGCTTTGTGCTGTGTTGTTGTGTCTGCGCAAATTATACTGCACGCGGTGGGAATTGGCAACTGCGCATGCGCAAACCATTTTAGTTGCCGTGGGCAACTGGAAAACAAAGATGGCGGCAGTGGGTGGAGAAGAGTAACATGGCGGAGACAGGAATAGACGCGGGGGAGACGAACAAGCCCGTCACTGATCCCCTGGTTGCGGAGATCCACAAGAGAATCCGCGAAGCCTTCAGTCCGTTTGACGATGACAACAACGGCACCGTAGATGTGAGGCAAGGAATCCTAGCTTCTGTAGCTATTAGTGGAAGGTATTCTAAACTCTAGGGAAGTAGGAGCTATAATTCGCTCGCTGGGTTGCTACCCGACTGAGGCAGAGATAGGAGATATGCTGCAGGAAGTTGAGGAGGAGGAGCCAACTGGTAAGGCATCACCAAAACTCCACTGCTGCCAATTTTAGCTCTTCCTGGCCACCAGACCATCTAGCTATAGGAAAAGAAAAGAGTCTGGTTAGCTCTGCATAGAACAAGGTATAAAATTGTGATACAGTTAGCTGTAAATTCACCAACTACATAAGCCTGAATGTGTCCCACAGCTGCACACACATAATGAATGGTGCAAGGTCTGTGACTGTCACAAAATGTTCATGAATCAAGGAAACCAATTAGTCACACGGACAGCTTGGCACACAACTGTACTCTGCAACCATAGTACATACATTATGGGCCCCATTTCTTTATATCCCATTGGCCATTGCACAGGGTTCATTAGGCTGGAGAAGTTTCTGCCAATGATGACCAGAGTACTACAAGAGAGGAGGTATAAACAAGCAATAGATTCTGTGTGTAATTGTTCTGATAATGATAGGACTGCACTACTTTACACCACTGCAGATATCAGCCTGCAAGCGAGGAGCAGTTGGTTCAAGCCTTTCAGGTAATTATGTACAGTTAACCTCTGAAATAGGGACACTTTTGGGGATCTTATCACAAGTGAATTAGTTGAGGCTGAATTATATAGGTGTCCTTTTTTAGAGGGTCCTGTTTCAGAGGTTTTACTAAACCCCAAGAAATATAATTATTTCGTGGGGCTTAGGGAGTGTGTCTATTGCCTAACCTGATGCTGTGTTACTGTTGTGCCTGATCAGGTGCTGGATGTTGACAGGAAGTCTCACCTGACTCCAGAGGAAATCAAAAAGTATCTGATGGAAGAAGGTTAGCACCAACTGATGTATAATAATATACCAGAGTTTCAACAGGGAAGGTTCTCTGGCTGGCTAGATCGCGCATGGAGGATCTAGGCAGGTGTAAAATCATTCCTGATTAGTGTTTTGTCAAACACATCATTCATTTGACAAAAATTTGGAGCCAATTTGATTCTCCTCATATAGCACATGGGCCTATTTGTAGCCATGAATAGTCTAGTCCCATTTGGCAAACTTCAATGGTAACTATATAGACAGCAAAGAGAAGTTGTCAGGATTTACATTTAATATATACACGTGTGATGCCTTAGCATGTTTAAAGAAACTGATGTCGTGTACCTAGTGTGCACTTAGTACTACAACTATATGTGCTATGCTAAGTTCTCTGTATAATTATGCCATTCAGGAGAGAAGTTCACACAAGATGAAATGGACGAAATGCTGTCTGCAGCAGTGGACAAAGAGAAAGGAACAATCCTCTACAGAGACTTTGTCACCTACATGCTACCTGAAAATGTCCAGTGATGATGATGTGCATGTTTTTCCAGCTATAGTGTCGGTCGTCGATTATGTAATCCCGAATCCCAATCCAAACGGCTGCAGTTTATCTCGAGGTCAAAGTAGATGTACTTGCTTCGACTTTTCTTCAGTTGGCCATGCTGCACAACCTGCCTGATTGCGAAATACCCCAGATTGAGGTGTTCCTCCGCACGTATCCGGTTTAGCACACATCTTTCTCCGTCACTGTTGTCGTCGCAAACTGTAAGCGATATCTGAACTGTAGCTGAAGGAGGGAGAGGAGGGCATTTGTCTGACGTGTTGATACGAACTATCATCGTCACGTACTCCCCACAGTCGCTGGATTCCCCGTAGGGGTAGAGTTGAAACAACAACTTTGGATTGTGTCGACCGAGATTTGTGTCCAGCTCAAATTTGTGCGATCGCGAGATGCAGCGTTTTTCGTCGTGATTCCAAATCGGTTTCCCCAAGTCGTCTCTCGGAACCCGCCACGTGATAGCATTTCCAGAGTTCCGCTTTGTCTTGTGCTTCCCGAATATGTTCAGGCATTTCTTCCATTGTTTTTCCTTGCAAGTTAATCCTGGCTTGTTTGCCTGGCGAGGCCCGCCTATAGCAGCACCCTCTGGCGCAGGTAGCTGATTAGTAGAATCAGCCTCCTTCCCCACACCTGTGAGAACAGAGATATTGAAACACAGAGTGCGTGACAAAGATACACGCTATCACATCCACTGCACAATGCTTCTCTCCTTAGAAGGCTGTAGAAGTGTAGTAAGGGGAAATTGGATTCTCAGAAGGAAACTGGAGAACACTTGCAACAACAACTACAGGAATTGGATTAAGTGTCACAAACGCCAACCTTGTGTCATCATATTATTTTCCAAGTCTCCAGTATCGTCTTGCAGTAGTAGAGAGGCCCGTGGCGTTCTTGACAGCTCCAAATCTTTCTGCTCAGGGTGCAGGCTGTCACTCTCGTTTGCTGCGAGGAGTGGTTGGAGTCTCCTTTGCCGGGCTTTTTTGTGGCGACTAGCGATGGCAGCTGGACATTCAAGTGTATCTCTTCTTTCTTCATAGCCACCTTCTTCCTGGTCGCTGTATATCTCACTCACACGAATGGCCTCCAACGCTCCTGGGTGCTCTGGGTGTACAAGAGACAAAGGAGCGATCCTAGATGGAAGAGTCTGTGCCACTGGCTCAAAGTGAACTGCGGATGATGTATTAGTAAACTCTTGTCCCCGAGGAAGGCTTATGGTGAGATTAGCTGTGACGTGGTGGAAGAGCATTGTGGAAGCTCGATCGAGAACAGCTTCAGTAGCCGAGTTCAAAGAGTTGTAGCTACTGCTGTTGGATGAGGAATAGCTATTCGGGTACGAGTGACTGATTTGACTACTCTGAGATATAGACCTGAGAGACATGCTGGTTTTACTCGGTGGGATGTGAGGACAATCTTGTGGGGTTGCCCCTTGTTCATGAGCGTCTAAACCGGACTGACTTGTTGTAGTAGCGTGTTCGAGCGAGCCCCCGCACTGGTGGTCCCCTGATATCTGTCCTTCGACGAAACCCTGTGTGAGACTCGTGGGTCCACTAGAGACAGAGTCCAGATTGCTGGACGTGGATTTTGAGAATGGGGGAAGAGGATCAGTGGCAGATCTTCTCCTGCGGCCATTTCTCCCCCTTTCTGTCACCGTCGGAGAGGCTGGGAAAACACCGAGGGAAATCAAGGGCTGGCTTTGTTTAAAAGAAACAAAATGCATTCTCAGGCCAATGAATAGTTAATAAGCTTATGCCATAAGGGCAACAGACATACCAAGCAAAAGATACTACGAAAAAGCTACAAACTGATTTATATTGAAAGTAGGAAACAAACTACAATAGCAACGAGGGTAGGAAGCCAGCACATGCAGAGAAAGTGGCAGACAAGTGTTTCTGAGGTTTTCATAATATAATTCCAAAGTCAAACGCACCTAATACGTAAGACCACAATCAAACAACAGAAGCCACGCATTGGAAGGAAGTGGGTAGGCAAGTGAATAGCTGGGGGTCTAGAGCAAACAATGCACAGTGTAGTATACGGTTGTAAAACAAATGAAAAATCTCAGACTTACCCTGATCGGGGAAGACGGCTACGTATTTGTTCATGACTTCGTCCGCCAAGTCGTGTCGCTCGATCTTTCTTAGCAGCTCGGCGAGCGGGGAGCAGAAGTGGGGCGAGAACATTCCCTTGTTGCGCATGGCCTTGAGCAGCTCGAGGGCGCTGCAGCTGGGTGAGTGGCCGAGGTCGGCCAGGTAGCGCAGCCCCTCCACGTTGTCCGACTCGCTCAGTTGCTTGGAGACCGAGAGAAGGAGGTCTCGGAATGGCTGGTCGCGGGTGGCGCAAGAATCCTCAGCCATGATGAACGAAGAAAGCGAAAAAAATATTTGCAGCTGGCTGAGTTTTACGCGTGTGGGGTGTACCGTACACCCCGGTGCCGCGGGTATTTCCCATTTTATGCGCATGCGCTAAATTGGTACTAGAGCGCTCGAGCGGGCGTGGACGGACGCGACGAGGGGTCGGGTGTAATCCGCTATGGAGAGGGTCAGCGCATTTCAGCCTCTCCCCTGCGGGAGACGCCAATCAGCATTTCGCAAACTAATTACGGAAATCTCCGAACACCTTCTCCCGGGCGAGGTGACGAAATGTTCCTTCATTCACAACCTGCCGAAGGAGCGCTCGTCTTCGGCGCTCGACACGCTCGAGTCCCTCATGCAAGGAGGAATGTTCTCCCACTCGAACGTGGAGCCGCTTGTGGACCTGCTGAAGGATATCAACCGACACGACCTGGTGAACGAACAGGTGGAGTCGTTCCGCAGAGATTTCTATGACGAAGACGGTAATCCGTGTAGTTGCCTATAATTATAGCTGCTATGCCAGATAGTGAGTGTGTGTGGCCTAAACCTTACCACAATAATTATAAACAACTGTGTGAATATGTCTACATACGTAATAGCGTAGAGAATCGTTAATCAAAATTCTGTCGTCTAGAGGTATACAATGCTATCACTTTGTGTGGTTGAAGAAAATATATGGAATTCCGATGATAACCCCCTAATATGCACTCCCTGCAGAGTTGTCCCAGTCTCTGCCTGCTCCTCTCATGACCCAGCAAATTCCTCTGGAGAGACGATCAAACACAGTACCTGCCGATACTGCCCACGCTGGCATTCCTCCGTCACTGGCCGTACAGGAAACTGCCCCCATAGCTCCCTCACAAACTGTCAACAAAACTCCCGCACCGACACTTCAGAGGCCTTCTTCACACGAGTTTTCAAATTCTCTCACGCGACAGGAACGCACCAGCACCCCACAGAGTCCAGAGATGCCGCCACTGTCTGCCGCAAACTCACCTCAACCAGTGTATGCAGATCCTAGCCCAGAATCAGGTGAAGCACCAACTCCGCACAGGCCACGGATCTACACTCCAGTAAAGTGGAATGATGTCGGAGTTTCGCCTCACCACAAATTCAAAGAGTGTTCCCCGTCAAATTCGAGCAGTTTTAATGAGTTGCAGTGCTACGCGAATCAATCTAGTGAGCATCTCCTTGAATCTTCGCACATGACAAGACCTTATAGCCAGCCTGAAGAATACCCTTCTGCTGCCACACCCACTGACACGCCCACCACACCCAATGGAAATGGTGGCACCCAACTGAAATTGAGACGAGGTGCTCATCTGTCTCACAAGGCACAGAGTGGGCTGTTTATGGCTGCAACACCACTCTCAATGACATCGCAGCATCCGCAGCAAAAACAGGGGGCCAGATCATTATCGGAAAGTCGTCCACGTCGCGCAATGACACCTCCGGCAAATCTAAACAAACGAATTTCAGAACCCAACTTTTCCCATCATAACAGTTTTATATTTCACTCACTGGCGAGGCAAACCAACGCCCGCCCGGAGTCGCGTACCTCTGGGTGGAGTGAGGCGAGTCAACCCAGCCCCAGTCGATTCCCGGTTGACCACACCCACCAAGATGATTGTGACGTCTTTCCACATTCTCAGCAATCATCACAAGCTGACGGTAAATTTAATAGTTTGTCCTTTCCGTTTTATGTTATGTCCAGATACTTCCAAATGACCAAACAACAATACAACAATGCACCGACTAATGCACTAACAGGCTAACGTGTACCAAATGGGCTGCAATGCAAACAAGCACAATAATTACAGGGACTTCTCTCCTATGTGCAGGTAACGAGGCAACTCAAGGTCACACAGGAGCTACAGAAGGCAGACCCGATAGTGGGAAGCTGTTTCGCAAGAGGCCGGGCTCTAAAAAGAGAATTCTGAACAAATTCACACGAAGTAGAGATCGCTCTTCCTCCATTGTAACCTGGTCTGTAAAGAGACGAAAACTGAATGAAGCCATATACGAACATCGCAGAGAGAAGCTCCTCAAGTGCCCACGAGGACTCGAACTGGAAAACGGGGGGAAGCACCCTCCGAGATTAACCCTTTACCTCCATCCCTACGGTTACGAAGACGATGCACGGAAGAATTTAACCCTCACTGTGACACTAGAGGCCTCAGTCAAATCCCACATACCAAGTTCGGCTGTCATCCGAATGGAAATTTTCGCAAGTGAGACGACTGAGGGGAGGAAGTTGAATCATGCTATTCTGGAGTGCCAGGCAGATTCTAGAATCGTTCGTTACAAAGGATTTCTTAGTCACAAGGAACTCAGAGAGTTGGAGTGTGAGAGCATCGAATTCACCGCCTCTGCGAAACTCTATACCACCAGTTTGACAGATTGATGTTGTATAATATAATATTATCACAATGAACCAAAATGAAAACCTACGTTGGTTTAGCTATAGATACAGCTCGGTTAGCAGACGGAAATGAAAACATTTCCGCTGTTGGCAAATCCTTCCACTCTGTAAGAGGGTAACAGAATTGTGAGCAGCAGTTGACTCCTACCATGGAGCAAGATCTAGAGCAGTCCCCTTGCCATCACCAGCCGACGGCGTGCAGCGAGCCTAGCTCCCCTCACAGAGACGACGCCTTCAAGGATCTACTACTACACATCTCACAGAACATGTCCGACGACGACGCGGCAGCGCTGGTCTTCACAGCTACCAACGGCACTACAAGCGGCGGTAGTCCATCAGCGCTGGAAGTTCTGCAACTATTGGTCCGTCGCGGAGAGTTTTCGGCTCGTTCGTGCAGCAAGTTGGACGGAGATTTGCGGAGGATCAACCGTTGCGATCTCGCCGAGCACGTTAGGGAATACGTGGAGAAATACACAGAGATACAACGTAAGTCTTGCTGCTCATAAAGCTATCTTTTTAGCTACTTTTCTGCGGCACACACCTGCCTAGTGTAGCATACCTACCAATCTTCCCGCTTTTTGCTTGCAAAAATACTGCCTATCCCTCCAAAAAATCGCCAAATCCCTATTTTTTGGTGCTAACCTGTGATGCATCATGCCTATATGTACATTTTGAATGGACACACAGCATTTTCAAGCAAAAATACTCCAAATCAAGCAAATTTGACACATTTCTCAAGCAAAGGTTCATCTGCAGGTTGATATGTAGGTATGGTGTAGGAGGTAGACGCGTGGACATACATCATTGCCTCTCGCAGTTTGCGTTGTTTACTAGATGTTTAAGTATACATTCTGATTATCTACAGGCCACAATTTAGAACGGGAGGAGAACAGAACACATCCACACCAGCATCAACCTGTTGGCATTGAACTCCCTACGTCCTCAGTACACCAAGAACAGTGTGTCGACATAGGCTCAGAGCTACACGTAGTTGCCAGCGGAGGTCCTGTACACAGCACGCCTAAAAGACAGCAGAACACGGCCTCTCCTGACCTGGGCCACGAGCTGTTTGATGCTCTGTCTCTAAACCCTCCCCAGAACATGTTGGTACCTTCTTCCACCTCACTCTGCGCCTCATCAGACCCTTTCCCTAGTGGGTCTTCTCCTGTGGAAATCGCCCCACGTCACGAAAGAGGGTCTAGTCTTGAGCATTCAACATCAGCACACACGGGAGAATATCAGTCCTCGTTCAACGGGTCTCAACAGAACTCGGGCTCAAATCTCCAATGGGGAGGTCAGGAGGGATACGACCACCCCTCGCGATCTGCTAACCTCAGTCGCAACAGCAGCAACCACTCTCTGTCATCGTCTGTTTCACAACTAAGCAAAGCCAGTCTACAGAAAGCCGAGCAGTTGCTCTGTAGAGCAATGGATGTAGTTGCAAACCAGTCACAAGACCAGCTGGACTCGTACCATTCTGCCTCGACGACATCGATCCCTCGACTCCCACAATCTGACACTAGCTCCATGTACTCGGATGTCGGTAACAAGGATCCATGGGCAAAGAAACTGAGCCATAGTTACCATGGGAGACTCACAACCAACACCCATCAGGGCAGGATGAGACGAACTCCGAGCGTTCCTGTTCGTAATAGAGGCTTTGCTTCCCGGCATCATCAAGTAGCTGGATCTGTACCGAATCACGCCAGGTGTGAGATTACCGACACACAGTTTGGAGTCAAAACACGGACTGAGCCGATTAGTGATAGTTTTTCAGCCGATGCACCAGATGAAGATTGGATTACAATGAAACAACCAGCAAACCAGTCTACCACCGAGCATGCCGACACCCACGAACACTCGGACGCAACCCCAGGACAATCGGTCACAGCAGACAGCAGAAGACAGTCTACAATTTCCGATGCTACAATCAAGAGGGTCTCAGTAGCTTCCGAGACCCTCTCTGAAACTACCATTACCAGCCCCAGAACATCTGTGTATGGCAAAGGTGAGTGAGTGTGTCATTGTAGGCTAAGTAAACCTTGCTCTAAGACTAAGGAAACAGCGTGTAGTGATAAAGCATCTGCTTCCGGTGTGTACATAGCCTGTATGATAGGGAATCTGTGTTCTATATAGAAGCAGTTCCGGCAGATGTTGCACAAGAGGTGGGGGAACCACGGAAACCATCCTCCCCGCCAGCAGGAAAAGAGAAGCCACGTCTCCGAACGAAACTTTCCTTTCTCCGGAGTAAATCCCGCACCAGTCTCTCCTCGTCTCCCAACTTCATGTGGAAAGTTGTGCGTGAAGACCTCATAAAGCCGATCTGGAGGCACCAAGCCCAGGCCAGCCTCACTCGCCCTGGTAAACTAGAACTCGATGCAAATCAAGGAAAACACAACCCGAAACTGATGCTTCAGTTGTTTCCGTACGGTCTCCACGGAGACGAGGGAAACGCTGTAACGATGGCTGTGCGGATCACGATACCCGACAAATGTCCTCCTTTACCTCTCTCTTCAGAGATACAACTGAGACTAGCGGTATTTGAAGTTGAGGGGAAAGAAGTGAAGAGGTGTCCTTGTGTTACAGAGAAAATCAGTAAAATCAGCATATTCTACGTGTACACTGTCATCACCCACAACCAGCTGAAGGAGTCGAAATCAAAGTACTTTAACTTGGAAGTGGACATCAACTGCAGTGGTTTAACTTAGCCACTGCAATATATTATAGCAAATAGAGTGTTGTTGGGCCGTTCACAATGATCAATCTGTGTTATAATGTTCAACACTACACTTTAATTCTTTATGCTAACAGATATTTCTAGCAAGATGTGGTCCCCTATTGTCTCTGGGGTAATGTTACAGCTAAAGAGGTGATGCACGTAAGACGAGTGCATATTCACAGGCTGTTGCACACAGGTCTTTCTCCATGCTTCTTGCTTGTGGCTGCCATAGACCACTAATCTCAGATGGACCAGGAGAGAAGAGGGAAGAGGAGGACACTTGTCTGGGGTTGAAATCTTGGCCTGCAGGGAAGCACTCAGCCCCACGTTCTCAAACAGCCCACGGGGGAAGAGGACGAGGGAGAGTTTGGGGTTGTTTCTGCCTTGACCCACGTCGAGATCTATCTTCTGACTGCAGGTAATCGACTGAAGCCTCCCTTCTCCAACTCTGGAGAGACATTTGAGCAAGCGATCTCTCTTCACCTGCCACTTGATGAGTCCTATAAGGTCCCTGGTTTGTTGCTCTGGCAAATGAGGTAGCACGGAATTATTAGAGGGGCTAGTAGTTGTTTCATTTGACTGGGGGGTAGAAGGAGATGGTGGGTTAGACGGTTGATCTTGAGAAATACTGACGTTAGTATGAGGAAAAGCTGCGGAAACAATCGGTGCAGAAAGTGAATAAACTCAGACAAACGTTAAACGTAGTTGTGAATATATCTTACAGTTGTCGTTCTTTCCCTGCTCCGGGTCTGATGGAGAAGCGTCAGTGTCTTCACCAGAGAGCTCTCGGGGTTGAGAAATGAGCCGGCTGAGTGTTGAGGCAGTGAGTGTCTCGTCACACTTGTACTCATCTGCCACCGTAGCCGACAGAGAGCGACCCCTTTTCTGTTCGTCTCCTGAGTCAGTGGTGCTGCACGAAGCACCTGACGATTCGCTGCAGAGACTGGAACGAGACGAACCTGTGGCTATCTGTAGAAGTGCCTGAATGGCCAGTCGGGATCTCTCTATTTCCACCTGTTGTTGGCCATGGTCAACGGAGCTTTGTCTCAGACATGAAGAAGGCATCGGGGAATTATCCGCCGTCAGAGATAACTTATCGCGGCTACTTCCCCGGCTGGACGAAGAGGAAAAAGACCCTAGTCCCCGCGCGCTGCCATTCTGTGAGCCAGTAGACGAGTGGACTTCATGCGCGAGGGGAAAATGGTTGAAGGAGAGTTTCCTCGGGCGCCGCCGGACTGCGGCTGGACTTGATCTCGGTCGCCGTGTGCGCGGGGAGCTTGAGAGAGACGGCGGCAAGCTGCTGCTCGTCAAAGATCTTCGACTAATCAACGGAGACTCTGCAGAAAACGAAAAGTGCAGCCCCACCCCTTTTTTGTAGTTCCTTACCTAGATCGGGAAAGAGCAACTGGTAGTTTTTCACTTCGTTCTCCGCCAAGTCGTACCGCTCGCATTCTTTCAGGATCCGACGAAGTCGGCTGGTTCGCCACAGGGAGAATTTCCCCTGTCGCTGCAGGTACTCGAGCAGTTTTCTCCCGCCCTTTTCCCGCGAACCTTCTGGCACTCCCTCAGACACTTCCATCTCGTCCATGTCCGCTTTGGACAGTTTCTTGGAGATTTCGCGAACCAGCGTCTCGAACGCCGTCTTACGACGATGGATTTCGTCTTCCATATCCTCGGTGGCCGCCTTTTCCGAAATTTGCCTGGAATTGTCGGCGCAGGCGATTTTTATTGCGGATGCGCAGTTGAGTGGGCGTTAGCTATAGCTTACGCGCACGCCACGTAAAACAAAACGGTTGATCTCATGTAACATAATTTTAGGTAAGTTAAGAACTAGGTTTCTTCGGTAGCCTTTTGAATTTGAACAGATATCTCCAACAGAAGGTGGTCCTCTAGTTCAGTGCTCTGTAGGCTGAACAAGTCGTGGATGTAAAACGATCGCATGTTGACACTCTCCTGTGCTGAGCGTTTCCACAGTGCTTTCTGTTTTTGTGAACCAAACACAGTGATGTTGAGTTGGACGAGAAGGGAAGGAGAGAGGGGAGGGCACTTGTCTGTTACACTGATATTAGCCTGCAGTGAGACACCTTTCCCTCCGTGGTGAAACAGACCCTTTGGATACAGCACAATGGAAAGCTTCGGATTGTTCTTCCCATGGCCCACGTCGAGGTCAATCTTTTCACTGAAAACAAGCTTTTCATTGCCTGATTTGTTGAGTGATTTCAGCAGATTGCCTTTTTTCAGCTCCCAGGTAATGGAATCCTGAGGCTTGCGATAACGCAGAGATTGGTCGCGGTAGCTTCAACCGCCTCGATGCTGTGGTGGTGACTGGGGTGTAGTGGCTGGTGGGAGATGGTAGAGAAGGTACTGGTGCATCTGTTGTGCCCACATCCACATAAGGGGAGCTGTCGGGAGACGGAGAGGCTGTGGAAGTGGAATTTCAATGTGCGGATGTGGGAGTAGGAGGAAACACTAGTCAAAAGGTGTTCACAGCATCATGAATACTACCAGTTAGACTGTGAATACAACACAACATTTGTGATTATTGTGGCATGCTCACCTTGCTCAAATTCATCTAGATTATTGGCGATGAAGGAACTCATTGTGTCTTGTCCTCCGCCATCACTAGAAGATGCATTGCGACGATGGAGGGTCGGTGTGTTGTCGTTATGGCTACCTCCTTTCATCACCAAAGACGCCTCACTTTTCGATTTCAGACTCTCTTCGTCTGTTGATCTGTATGTAATGTCGGTGCAAGACTTGCTCTCCACAATCCTGACTACTGCATCTATCGCTTTCTCTTTCAGTCGGCAGTCGTCGCAACTTCTCCCATGTGAGCGCCAACTCGCCATTGTAGAGTATTCTTCCAGCGGCGGCGGGTAGGTACTGCCCATAGAGAACTCGCTCGGCGTGGGAGATTTTGAAGCCGCGAATCCTCGCGTGTGGGACGGACCGACCAAACTGCGTGTCCCCGACGCCGTGTTTTCTTCTTCGACTGGCCACTGTGCGCGATCCAGTGACGACGCTCGCCGATGCCTGTGGGGGACGGGGCTGGAGCTCGAACGAGTGTGGCAGGGAGAACGGACTAGTAGGGAGCTAGCCGTTCTTTCGTACTGCATCGAAGCCCTCTTCGGCTTCGGGGACTCTACAGAAAACAAAACACATATATACACATACTGACAGCCCCACCCCTTTTCTTTCTACCTGCCAAATCGGGGTAGTTTCTCTGGAACCGGTCTTTCACCACTTCCGCCAAGTCATAGCGGCCGCATTTACGGAGGATGTCGTGGAGACTGGCGGTCCTCCAGAGAGTGAACCGCCCCTGGTTCCTGAAGTACTCGAGCAGTTTGATCCCTCCCTTTTCCCGCAGGTCTTCAGGCACGCGCTCCAACACCTCCAGACTGTCGAGGTTTGTTTTGGACAACTGGGAGCCCAGCTCTTGCAGGAGATTGTCGAACGCGTCTCGTCGACCGTCGTAGCGAAGCTCTTCCTCCATTTCTCCTGTGTCTCGTCTATACGCGGCCTTTTATCGCTAGAAATACGCATGCGCAAAAGCGTGATGCCGCCTTCCGAGCGGAATAATACCTACAATAATCGGAAGCGAGGATCCGATATTTCAACTGCTAGCTTAGGTATAAGTAATATGTTGAAACAACCTTTTGTGGTGTTTCCATTGTTGTAATTCCTCGGACACCACACCCACACGCGAAGCTGTGTAGCTAAAAGCGGACAGAGCAGATGGCCGACGACAATATCTCCCTAACCAGTCCAGTTCACAGCGAGCCCATGGCGTGCAGCGAGCCGCCCACCGGCGACAGAGAAGGCGCGTTCAAAGATCTTCTCCTTGAAATCTCCCTGAAGATGGACAAAGAGAACGCGAACCAGCTGGCTTTTGGCGCAAGCTGCAACCTGCCCGGTACACCGTCAGCCATTGATGTTTTGAAGGAGTTGCGGAAACAGGGAGTCTTTTCGCCGCGCTCGTGCGCCAGTATCAAAGCTCTACTGCGAAAGATCAGTCGCTGGGACCTAGCCGATTTAGTGGTGGATTATATGGAGAAGTACCCAGACACTAAACGTTAGCCGAAGACACCCTATATTAATCTTAGCTACTCATCTTGTTATTTTGCTGTACAGGGCACGCATCAGTTCAAGAGAGAAGGAGCAACTATCCTATAACTCCTATAAAAAGGTGTGCCACAGACCCACCAGCTCTCTTTCATCATCACCAGCACCATCAGTCGCACCAGCCAACCGGAATTTTGCCAGATAGTCCACAAGTGTGCCAGGAAGAGACAAGTGCTGGAGGATTGGCGTCAATTTGGTCGAGCAGCTCCGAAGTGACTGTCCCCACCACAAGCACACCGAAAACCCCTCTTTCAAGTCCCGATCATTCCAACAAAAGTTACCTCCAAAGCTCACCTGAACCATTCGTACCTGAGCAGCTTTCTTACGAAACACCCCCTCCTAGTACTCGCCGGGACCCAATCACTGCCAAGGGAGCCCATTATGTACCTCATAGGTCCTCTCGATCAGCCACTGTCAGTCGAGAAGGCAGTTTTCGCTCTCTGTACTCATCGGCTTCAAGCTCCCATCCGAGCTCAAGTTTTGCAGAGACGATATTCAAGGTGGCGAACACAGCGATAGATGCAATAGCACGAGTATCACAGCAGGGCCTAGATGACAGGTATGTGTCTAGCTCTAGTTTCTCAACCAAATACTCTGGAAGGTACAACACGGATTCCGACACGCGCTCTGTGTACTCAGAAAGCGAGGGAACTCCAGTAAGAAAGAGCAGGAGTAGCTATCAACGTCAGCGAAGGAGAAAATCAACACAGCACCACCAGGATAACCCTACAGTAAAGCAACAGTATGCAGCAAGCTCATCGGAAAATGAAGTGGCTGAATTTGAAATAAGCGATGCACCAAGTGATGAAGGTGCCAATGAAGATGATGGGACTGTAGGTCAAATGGAAAACTTCCCAGTTACTTACAGGAAAAAGAACCCTCAGGAAGCTAGTGCACCTCGCAGACGCTCGGCGTTAAGTTTTGATCCAATTCCAAGGCCGCCCATGATAGCTGCTGAAAACAGACGATTCTCATACAGTGTGGTGGATTCCTTCAAAAGGCAATCAGTGGCATCAGATGCCACGTCTGAGGCTACAATAACACCCAGATCATCCCACTTTGGAAGAGGTATGTAGAGGTCATTGTCTCTAAGTAAACCATTATGAAAACATTTGTATGTGATCCGTGACATTATAACGTGGGACTGGTATGTGGAAAATGTGTGGATTGCTACATACTGAAACTGCACTTGAACTCTTGCAGACATGCAGGGTCAGTCACTCCTCAAAGAACGACCACCGTTGTGGAAGAAACTGCTTCGAAGCAAAACTCGCTCTTCGCCATCCTGGAAGGTCGGCCGAAAAGATCTTATCAAACCAGTTTGGCTCCACCACGCTCATGTCAACATTACTCGACCTAACAAACTAGAACTCGACATAAATCATGGAAAACACAACCCAAAACTGACGTTTCAGTTGTTTCCGTACGGTCTTCACGGAGATAAGGGGGAGGCAGTAACGATGGCTGTGCGGATCGCGACACCCGATAAATGCCCGCCTCTGCCTCTCTCTTCAGAGATACAACTGCAGCTGGTTGTGTGGGGTGGGGAGGGGAGGGAGAAGGAGGACGAGGTGAAGAATTGTCCGGCAGTTCACAAGGAGCTGAGTACCACGAGTGTATTCTACGTCTACGAAGTCATCACACACGACCAGCTCAAGCGCTCGAAATGCAAGCACTTCTACTTTGAGATGAAAGTGAAATGCAGTGGTTTATAGTGTTAGCTATGTAAACCCAGAAATATAATCTTGTTAGCAAAAAATTCATGTAAGCTGGATAGATTCCCTTATAAAATCTGTGAAGGATAACAAGTGCTTTAAATATGTGTGCACACAGCACAAATATGATCTGAGGCCTACTGCGATGAATAGTGAACCACGACTTTTAGAGCGCGCGCGATGTACCGAGCATGCGCATTCAGTGCGCCGCGCCGCGCCGCGCCGCAGAGCTATCGTAAAAACACGGGAAAATACTCTACGACACACTCTTCAGAGAATAAAGCAATATTTCATCGTAAATCACTTAGACTCAATGGCAACGGCGGTACAGGGACCGTGTCACTGTCAGAGACGTCGATCGTACAAACAGATGGTCCGCGACATAGCGGACAACCTGGGCGCGGAGGACGTCCGCCAAATCGTCTATCTCCACGACCTACCGCGGGAGTTCGGCGACAAGTCGGGACTGGAGGTACTGCAGCATCTCGAGCGGCGCGGGAAGTTCGCGAGCGGGAGACGAAGCAACTGGAGAACCTTCTGCAAGAGATTCATCGCTTCGACCTCATAGAAAAGCACATCGTGCAATATCGCAGAGACGTCTTCTGCGGCTGCGAGACTCGGAACACGGGGAGAAGTAAGTATACGTAGCTAGCTATAATAATACGCGCGGGGAACAAGTGTGAAGGGAATAATGCGAGCCGACATGTTTGCGAGCAACGACATAAAACGTTGTATAATATTATAGAGGGTCATGTACGTATGTGGGAAATGCGTGGGTCACGGGTCCCTAGGGCTGTCGTTGTGTATACGAACACACTGAATTTTCCCAAATCCCTTTTTCTGTGTAGGCTGATGAGTCTCAAAAGACGCTGTAGTTTCATCTTCAGTATTCCCTAAGTTAGTAAACAAAGTGTCCTGTTGTACGCTTCAGTAGCCGAGTGCTCCTTTTAAGGCAGCAAAACAGTCGCACAGGCAAGAACCAGATTCACAGGATTCCTTGTGTATCAAACAACATTTTTGCTTTGCTGAACTTTGCCCCTTTTTAACAACTTGTACAGGATTGTTTCCAAAACCTTCGGGCCTGTTTTTCAGTGAAGGGAAGTGCTTAACAAACCAAAACAACAGCATTGCATAAAAACAAGCACAAAACACGCAGTATATATAATTATACTAGCGACAGAACGCGTCCTCCCCCAAAATTCATATGTCTACTAAAAACAAACTCTCTTCTGCAGATATCCAAGCAACACCAGTTCCTCACACGGCGCATAAACCCCCACCTCTGACCCTCACACCTTCACCGAGATCACTTCCCCTTCCTCACAACCTCACTGCTCCCGATGCCGAGCGATCCGCCTCAACTCGCCTCCAACCTGACGAAAAACGCGAGCTACACAAACTCCTCAAGAAATACGTCCCGCTCGAAGTCATCCGCAACTCGAAAATCTGGAACAAGTTTTCGTGTGTCCAATCGCTACGTCTGACAAAGAGCACTGAGTACATGGAGGATACCACCACGGAGAGAGATGTGGCTCTGGTAGCAAGAGACGGGGGCTGGGGAGCGAGCTACATGAAAAGCCGAAGCATCGATCAGCGAGCATGTCTAAACTGGGGGAGAAGAGAGAGGACGAAGAGGTTGAATGGGTGGTGTTGGATGAATCCTCAGTGACGGACAGCGGGACCTGCTGCAGTAGTGACAGCAGTCAGGACGAAAACAGGTCTCTGGACATCGATATTGGAGACTTTTCCCTTGATCAATGTAAGTAAACCCTGTGCACCATCTCTATAATATTCACTTCAAACATTTCTGTGAACATAATGCATTCTTATAATATTATACACATTTGCCTCTGTTTTTTCAGTGTGTTTTTCAGAAATCTACACTTATAGCTTATTACTATACCCTTTTGTGCACTGCTTTTTCCTAAACTTTCAGAAATGCAGCTTGATACTAGCAACTCTATAACCATTTTTGTGAAATGCATGTTACTAATCTATCATTGTTTTCACTACTTTTCCAACACTTTTCTCTTTCACTTTTCCTTTCAAAAACAAACAGACAAGTGGAGGAAACACCAGGCCAGTGACAAAGGGAGTGAGAAGGAACGCCGCTACTTCACGTGGCGTGTGAAAAGATCAGAGTTCATGATCCCTCTCTTCCAGCACACCAACAAGACATTCGAGAAGCGAGTCAAACTCTGTATGGGTCACAAAGGCCACTTCCTCCCCATCGTCTTCAAACTCTTCCCGAACGGCCTCGGGAGCGACGAAAACATCTACTCGTCCTTCAGAATCGCTCTTCCCAGCGCCTCGCAACTGGTCCCCGCAGGAACTTCGCTCGTGTTCTCGATAACGGTTCGGGACATGCGGACGGCAGATATACTGGCCACGAGGTACATGGAAGTCGGTCTGGAGCGGGAAGAGTATCTTCTGGAGCAGTTTATTGCGCACGAGGTAATCAAGTCTTCGCAGGCTCGCCACTTGGAGATCCGCGTCATGACGAAGGTCAACGCCAGTTCTCGGGGGTGGGTGGAGATTCAGCCGCGGAAGAGCTGAACTTTTCACCATATTTTATTCTATGTCTATAAAATGTTGTTGCGAATTTACATAAATTCGCGCCGAATATTAGCGCGCGCACACAATAGTCGCGCGCATGCGTGTGTCGGGCCGCTAAAGGGAAACGTGGGTGGCGGGGAGCCAGCTGCGCTGCTGGCTGGCGAGGGGAAGTTACGTACGTAGCTCCCAGCGGCGCGGCGCGGGGCAGTGCTCATAAATGGAACCATCTCCCTTCCAATAGCTCAGGTAACAATCCAAATGGCCGATCGCCACAGCGATGTCGAGCGCGCGTTTCGAGGGGCGCTGCTACGGGTCTGCAACGAAATGGGAGAAGATACATGGAAAGGTTGCTGCTTCTTGTACGACATTCCGGAGCGGGTTCGTGAGGGCAGCCGGAGCGACGCGCTGGATCATCTTCTAAAGACTGGTAAACTGAGCAGCGAGCGACCGGAAGAGTTCGCCAAACAGCTTCGCCTGAACCTCAGTCACACCGACCTAGCCGAGAAATTTACAGGTGAGCTATATACCGCGAGTTTTTTCATTTCCACACGCTAAACGATTATATCGTTTGTGTTTACGTGATTTATACACAACTTACTAGCTACGATTTTGCATTAGTATTTCTTGTGTTTCCGCGCGTGCAGGATTTCTTTCCGAAGACCCCGCAACGCCGGCCGTCGTAGAGACGAGAGAAGGCGCAAATCGTCGTAGGACGAACGACGACCATCGCCGATACGCGAAACATTACTCCCAAGTTCCCGAACTACCAGATTCCGACATGCCGCAGGAGGTGCCAGTAATGGAAGATGGAACGGACGGACAACCAATCACGGCGACGGACGAAGATCTCGCGCCCTTCCCAAGGCCACGGACTACGAACATCGTCGGCTCAACCCGCGGGCGTTCGGTTTCCAAAAGACATGATTCGATAATCAGCATGATGTCATCTCGCTCCAGCGGCTACTACAGCCAGCGAGACTCGGTCCTATCAATGCAGTCCCACTACGACGCGGATAGCGAGTCACCGCAACTGGTACCAGAGGAGGAACAAGAGAGGGAGGGAGAGGGAGTCGCGCTAGATCGGCAAGACTCTTTCCCAAGATCAGCATCCTTCCAGTCGTCCTCATCTTCGTCCATGGAGGAAGAGTTTCGTTCAGTTCGTTCGTCATCTCTCTCCAGTATATCGACCTTTGACTGTGACTCATTACCACGAGAAGGTATGCAGTAGAATAAGGGAACATGTTGGGGGGTGTATCAAGTGTCATTTACTCAGTTGCATCTGTGACCGATAGCTGATCATGTCGAAGGGACCCTCACACATGTAGCATTCCAATACACTAATGAATTTGTGTATGGGGCAGAACGAATATCTGAGATGTGTCCTTCAATGGGAGGGTCCTCTTTTGATTGAGGACAAACCTAGAATGTTGTTGTTCATTTGTTTGTCTCTTTGTTGTTGCCACTACATACTCTGGGGCCATCAACACCATAATGCTGACACCTCAATACCAAAACCTAACAACTGTTGGTGTAACTGGTGGCCAAAGGGAAAGCCTAAAAGGCATGCAAACACAGGGACACTACCTGACTTCGACAAACAGCTTAAAACACTTCCGATGTGACAGGCCACTTTTGGAAACATACCAACTCTTATCCAAACTTCCTATCTGCAAAACTGACGTGTGTTCAATGTTTATTTCCAGCTTTTATTTTTCATTAGCAAAGTCAGTTTGTGCTTCAAACCAACCATTCAGATTCTGATTTTGAAAGTTAGGTCTATGCCCAGTGACGTACGCAGAGGCAGCTTTCTCAAGCGTGACTTCTACTGTCCCTTGAGGGTGCATTGCCATTAAAGGGGAATTATCACTTAATGAGTAAAAGCTGAGTAGGCCTATCAATTTTCACTACGTGTGTGTGTCCTTGATTTTTTGAATACCTTTCTCTAATGCGTTCGACTGTGTCGACTCCACTGAACCTTTTCTAACTGCACCATCTTTAGGGAACAATGTGCGTAGAGTATATACCTACACACTAGTTTTGGGGGTGATGTTGTTATTACCATAATGTTCGGGGCTGAAGCTGCTGTAAACAGGTTGTGGTGAGGCATGTGATCAGACCCGGCGGTCAGGCCTCGTGCATGTGGGGGGACGGAGGGGAAATAGTTGAAGGAGTAAGGCTTCAGACTTCCAAAATCCCAGCCCCCACATCCTATAGTAGTAGACCATAGTAGACCATACTAGCTGATTTTTGCTGAGCGGAAATAGCTGGCTTCCCAGTATGGGTGTTTTCGACATCTATGTACTATGTTTGCCACTTAGGAGCATATTCTAAACTTCATGTTTTGGGGTTTGTATCACTAAGTTGGTACGTAGGGGCTCCATACTATAATACTCCAGCAATGTCCAGTTCTCCATAGTGTTAGCTGCTGTCCACTACCTTTGACCGAAGTATCTTAACTCTACGTGATGTTTGTTGGCTATCGAAAAGCCCAAACAGAACATGTTTTTACCTAGCTACCAGTGCAGGGGAATAACAACACAACCCCAGGTGTCTTCCCACTGTTTTCTCTCAGTCTGTTTGTTTGGTGAACGTTATGACGCGAGCAGTAGCTAGTGACATCTGGTGACTTTCAGCCTCAGAATAACAACTCCACAGGTAAATCTTTTCCAAGAGGTGCTAATACTTTCAAAACACAATCTACAAGTAGTAAACAAGTGGTGTACAGAGAGAAAAGATGCTCAATTCCCCGGCTTTGACCCCATGTTATGTGGAGATACATAAACATACACAATCATGAATCATGCCCTTTGTACCCAGCAATGAAAACAGTGTGGGTTGTAAGCACGCACCATTAGTAGTAAATTCCAAGTGGGTAGCTTTGTATGCTCAGTATATAGTAAATGTGAGTATCGAAAAATGAATGTGCAGTGTAATAATGCAGTCTGCAAGGGGTTTAATAAAGTATTCTTGTCAAGAGGGGACCATGCTTACTCCACTTAAATGCCTGGGAAGCTGTACACATATCCTTAGTAGCTACTGATGTACTAGGAAAGAGCGGTGATATAACTGTGACCTAATCTCTCCACTACAGTTCACAGTGAGTACGAAACTCCCACATCCCTTACCCCGACTCCAGAGACACGGAAGAGAGGGGAAACCCCCCAACAATATGGTGGCGTCTCCGACACACAGCACGGTACGGAAGACAGACACGATCATTCTGAAATGCCGCGACCTCATCTCAGACATCGACCAGAGACTTAGGACAAAGTCTACTGCAGCCTGGCGACCCCGGAGAGGAGCAGACACGGAATCGATTTCAAGATGAAGTTTAGTCCAATCAACCCTAGCGGATACCGGTGCTTGCTCACTGAACGTTGAAGTTCGAAGTCACATGGACAAGAAGCTTATTCCACCCCTCGATATCTCCGTCTGCGTGGTGGAGTCAAGCCACGCGGCCCTCGCTAGGGATTTATCACTCCGCGAGGAAAAGAATCGCTTGGCATACGAGCAGCGCCCAATGAGAGGCAACAACCTGGTTATCCAGGGAAAGTTTACAGCTCTCTTCCCCAACTTGGTCGATCATCAGAAGCTCCGACAAGTTTCGTCAGAATTTGTCGCTATACAGGTTGCTATGGAGTACACCACCACAGTCCACCCCAGCCACACCCCCTAGTGGAGATCAGAGAATTAATTACTTTTTTTGGTGGAGTAAATTACTCCGTTTTTTCATCGCACTTAACGACAGGACTCAATTACAATAGGTCCTCTACCAAGAAACCTTGACATGTTGTACACAGGTAGTTAACCTTTCGAGTAAAGGCACCTCAATGTTTGGTTGGTTACTTCATGTTTCTGTGGAATGTTTAAGTTGAATTATAACTGTGTTGGCACACCATTATTGTCACGCATCCTTTATGCAACTATGCAACTTATCATTGTCGTTTGTAAAATTGTTATAATGCTGATATCGGGATTGAATATTTATTTGGTGTTTTTTTTTGTTAATATTGAGATTCAATGACACGGTTGCCAAGCAAACTCGAGAAATATGTAGTGATTAATTCAGCAGTAAACGGATTTTCACCTTCCAGAGAGTAAACGCGCATGCGCGCACACACACTGGGCGCGGCGCTGTACTGCTATGCTAAGCTAGCTAGCTAGCGACGAAGCTGAGGGTGACCACGCGCGTTTCTACCGGGGGATCCGGGAGGAACAACAACGTATATACGGGAACAAGCAATGACGTAATCCGAACTCCTAGCAATACATAGCTAATCAAGGCCAGTTTTTTATCACCTTGAGCTAGCTGTACGCAGAGTGTGGGATCGAGCGGTGTGCGATGGACGACTACACGAAGTCGTACCAGCAGCTCGTGGCCGATATAGCTGACGCTCTAAGACCTATGGACGTAGAGAAACTGGACTGGTTCTACAAGGAATCCCTGTCTAATCGTCGGCCGCCGGCGCAGGCAGACGCTCCGTGGACGCCACTTAGCGTACTGCGGGGGTTGGAAGAGGCAGGCGTTTTTAGCAGCGAGCGTCCAGAGGGCCTCGCGGCAGCTATGCTTGAGGTGAAGAGAGAAGACCAAGAAAAAGCAGTGAAAGGTTTTGTCGGTGAGTAGGCTAGCACCCGCGCAACATGCGGTGTGTTCACTTTCTGTCCTGCAGAAAAACATCAGGGAACGCTGTCTTCCCTCAGAAAAAGGAGGAGGCCTGTGCCAAGGGATGAAAAGGACGGACCTTACCCTCCTCGGCACAGAGCTAAAGCAAAGGTGTGCAATGTTGTAACAAAGCCTGACTATAGCTTTTCTATCAAAGTTGATATCAAAAACAGCTCTGCTGCACAATAATTATAATTATTCTGCTACTGTTTGATATTGTAATTACACAGGGTCTGCTTGCCGTGGTTCCTGACAATACTAATAGCAAGGAGGCTGATGTTGAAGATGGTGACTACGTAACTTGGATACCTCCCCCACAAATACCCAAACAAGGTTAAAACCAAACGAGTGCCTGATCTTCTGCAGAACACATGACTAGCCACATTTACATATTTTAGTTGTATTTGGTAGTCTATAGTGAGTGTAGCTTCAGGTCTTGTTTACACTCCACTATAATGTCATCACTTCAGGTGCTGGTGTGGCCTCTTCTGCCCCTCAGTCTGTCCCCGCCAAAACCGAAGGCAGTTGCTTGGACGATGACTCATACTCATATCCTTACGACTGGAACTGCCTTATCACTGGTATAATAATCAATGCACATGTCAACAACGAGGTCAAAGCAAAGCAACAACACAACTACATGTATGTATCCTCAATGTTTGAAGAAGGTAGTTTTGGAAACTTTACCAACTACAGAGGTTAACAACTGTAGTAAAAAAGTGGTTGTTAAAGTCTTGTATACACTGTTTTGTGATTCCAAACTTTCATGAATCGTAGACCCTACATTCTTTTTTGCCGATATCAATGTGTAGGTATATAGGTCTTTTTAATTCAACATCCTACCACACTACAACGGCACCTTGATTATGAAGGGCACGGCAATAAGAAAGAGCTGGTAAACAAGTATAATACATTGCTTGTTTTGTCACAGACTCGCATCCTATTGTGTCGCCTGAATCTTCTCTCTCATCCACCTCCTCTGACGGGAAGTCAGGCAGTGGTCCTGGGAGCTCGGACGATGATGATTACTGCTATCCCTACCAGTCCAACAGAGAAAGCTGGCTTACCACCGGTGAGCTATATATGTTGGAAGATACTACTTAAGTATCACTCGTAATAAGTTACTATGTTGGTTTCTGCTCTAGACATACTCTTCGTCAACAAAGTGATGCACATGCAACTTTGCTGAGTGAGAACAGAATCTCATGCAACTTCAATGTATGGGTATATATGATGGGTCCATGTTGCATGAAATAGACAAAATTTCTATTTCCTTGCAAGATGTTGTGAATGGACTCATCATACCCATACATTGAAGTTGCATGAGATTCTGCTCTCACTCAGAAAAGGTGTGCAGCCTTTTGATTGGAACAGCATCCTATTGTTTTGTGTTACTGCACTCTCTGTTGATGTCCCCAGAGAATAATGATCTCACTCTACAGACAGTATTGTTTGTATTGCTGTCGGAGGCGGTAGTCCCTATTAATCTACTGGTGCCCAAATCAGCATCCTTTTCGCCATTTTAGGAAACGCTCAGAGCTCTCAAAATGAGATTCACAGTACCATTGCTATATCATAGCTACACAGTATCATACCTTCTAATGATCGATTCACGCACGTACAGACTGTCAGGAGGGCCAAGTGTACTGTGTGTGGAGTTACTTGGGTTGGGAAGAAATAAGGTGTCTTTTCTTATAAGATAGACGTCCTTGTTTTAAGGCTGGCAAGAGCTGTCCTGGGGGAGAGAAAGATGTCTTCTGTTGTAAGACTCGTCATTTCAGGGGTTAGTCTAGGTTCTAGCTACTGTTCTTTGGGGAAAAGGGGTTCTTTTAAAGAGGTGTCCACATTTTCATCTCTTCTCTGTCTTTTACCTGTGCAGCCAGTGGCCGCGTGACCCTCACTCAGAAGATGAAGCTGACAACACCTCCTCTACAGCGGCAGATTCGCAGCCTCGAAAACCACACCATTGCCAGTAGCCCCATCAAATGGAACCTTAAAAGCTCCGAGCTGGTGTTCAAGCTCCATATCGACCCATTGGGACACCACAGCGGCCTCTCTGCTACACTCTACCTCCAGAAACAGCCGAAATCAATCGCAAGTTCTGAGATAGTCACTGCAGAACTGACCCTGCATCAGAAGTCGTCCCCATCGGTGACCCTGCATCAGAAGTCGTCCCCATCAAAGCCCAAGGCACCGTCACAGCTTAAGCTGTTCCAGTGTTTGCTTGTCATGGATATGCCTGACGAACACACGAGTGCTAGCTCCCACTGGCCGTGGCAAGGTTTCCTATGATTCTGTCACACAAGCATCTCATGAACAGCAGCCTCATCACCTGCACGGCTTTAGATCTCTCTCTAACTCTAACACATCTCAATTCATCGTGAAATTTGCTATCTCTCCCCCTCTCCCTTCTCTTCTTTCTCTCTCTTTACGTTTTTGTTATCGCCAACAATCAGTCTCCGTCAATGATTTTCATCTTCTCTACATTTTCCACTAATACAGTATCCATTTTGGAAAAATGTTTTGTTTTCGTAGTAGCGTAATCTCGTGGTGAATTCCCGGGGGTTGGCCACGTGCAAATTACTGATCTGTTGATATTTTTAGTTTCAAGAAGGCATTATGTGCCGTAAACATTAACACTGTTTATTAGTGTTAACATTGAAAAGTGTGGTTACACATCATAGTGTGTAGCTATCTTATGATGCACTATAAAAGTATACTTTATAAAGTTTGATAAGTATACAATAATTTGCTGTACTATTCTCAACAATAGATCAGATTGCACACGTAGCAGTTTATGGAACACTACACTTTCACATTCCGAGCCTAAATCACGGTTACCAAAACAAACAAATTGGATTATTGCTAGGTCTATTTTTGGGCGGTAAGTAGATCTTACATGTAAACATGACTTCAGTCGACAAGCATCTTCACTGAACACAAAATTTGTCAATCTACACATTTTTAGGTTACAATTTGCAAAAATATTCGTTTTGCCAAACATTACACCCTGGGTATTCCAAAATTAAGTGGAGTATATCATTTATGAAAATGCTTCACACACTAGAACTAAGCTGAAATTGAAAACCTAGTACCAATTATTCACATGTTTGCCACTAGTGGGCGTGGCTGGGGGCATGGCTAGACTCTGAATACAAACGAGTCGCTATGGGAGATGTAGCGAACCCATCGATGAGAGCTTCGGGCCATCATGCCTTGCTCAAACACTCGTAGGAACCGAATTGTCACTCCTGAGGAGGGAGGGGGAAATTGGGATTTACCCTGCTAATTAGCACCAATTAAGAATCCAGGCACCACTGGGGATTATAGTGAAACTTCCGATTAATAAAGGCACCTCTCTATGATGGACACATGACACACTTGCCCTCCAAATATCAGACACCTCTTAAAAAGGACACCTCTCCATAAAGGACACTTGGTTTTCTGCCCCATACTAATACATTAGTGTATTCAACAAGGGACACATCTGACAAAAACGCCTCTCATTTAGAGTTCCGCTTTCAATGTATATACCTGAGCAGATGTACATTGGTATTTCAAAGTCCATGCTGATGGCATTGACTTCTTTCTTTGCCATCTTTGTCATATCTGACAGGTTTAGCTACATTTAGAGAGAGAAGGGAGAGAGAGAGAGAGAGAAGGGAGAGAGAGAGAGAGAGAGAGAGAGAGAGAGAAAAGCAGGAAGGTATATAGATGTGGGAAGCGAAGGATAGAAACGGAAAGTTAAGGAGTAAAGTGTTACACGACATCACAACGCATCATACAGTTGTTACTAAAATTAATACGATACGCTATATATATATAATATATCAGCATCCTATCCACCCCCAACACACTACTTGTAGTCACTGCTTCAAAACCTCTCACTTTACATACTTGTGATGCAAGTTCCCTGGCTACACACATGTTAACATGTCATTTGACATCACTTCCTGACTAGGGAAATCCAAAAAGTTCATAAGTAATTAAGTCTTCACTATGGAACATGTAGGTGTGTGTGTGTGTACATTCCACAATACCTCATAACAGTTGCCGTGGTGACTGCACTACACTATGACTCTGCCCTCATAAACAAACAGGAGACTCACATGTGTAAATACCATGGCAACAAAACTTTGTCCTAGGTAATAGGGTAGTCAATCTGGCTAAATGTGATGTTTGTCTATCGTTGTCAGGGAAACGCTGCCTACAACGTTCACTAAAGTGCAAACCCTCGGCACACTCTATAGAAATGTGGAACCCATACACAAGTGTGGCACTACCACAATTGATGGTCTTGACCATGCATCAGCATGTTATGCACCATTTCTATGTCAAAAAAAATGAGGGAAAAAATATATATAAGGTTGAAAAATTGCCAACCTTTCATCTCCTATTAATATTTTCGTATTACCTGTGAATTGTTTAGTGAAAAAAAATTTTTTAAACCCAAGGTTGAAAAAAAATTTAAAAACGGCCAGCCCTTCATCTCTCCAGACAGACGTCTACGGACGTAGTGCAATGCCGAACTATACGCTGCCCTTTGAGAAACATGGGTCAGTGGTAGATTTGTGGGTAAGGGGAGGTACCAGAGCTGTTCCCAGCCAATGCTCTGGACCATCTGACATTTTAGTGCGGATCGAGGATTCGAACCCGGCACCTATGGTGTCAGTCCCCACGACTCTAACCACCTAGCCACTCGGGCTGGCCTTGAGAGGTAATGAGAAAACGTTCCATATATACCAACACTCCTATTACATCATTGTAAAAAAAGCGCACTGCACCCGGGATCGAACCAGGGACCTCACGATCAAGAGAGGGGGTGCTTATCCATCAGACCACCATTACTTGAATGGTAACAGCGTAAATGAAAAGCACTAAAGTGCAAACCCTCGGCGAAGTAGCTCGCAGAGAGTCTGACACGGGCTAGCTACAGTAGCACGCGAGAGTCGATTCGTTGTGACTTCAATATATAGACAGCATAGCAAGCGGACCCTGTAGAACTTATAAGCGCATGCGCATTATCCGCGATAAAATGGCGACTACGGCATTAGCCATACAATGCTGGAAGCGCTCTAGCTCTGCAACGGAGCATTTTCAGAGAAAACCCCACATATTTTCTTACCTTCGTCGCCAGTTGGGAAGATGGTATCGTTTCTGGGACGAACAGACATTCGAGAGGTGAGATGTAGAGTAACAGACCCAACTACAGTACCCTCGCTGCGCATGCGCGCCGAGGGTAATTACCCTGAGAATCAGTATAATTTCCTCCCCTCCGTGTATCTTCTTGATCTTCCAGAGGTAGCATTTGTCTGGTATCTTCAGTTCCGACGTCTGTCCGGGACCCAGCGGCTCGTGGGAGGAGCTTACTGTTGCCTTGGGAACCGGTATACGAACAACCACATTGGTCGCGTGACTGTGGGGGTGTGGAAATGGGTGTAGCCATAGCTAGGAACCATTAGTGTGAATTATCGTTAGGAAAACATTTTCAAGAGAAAAAAGACTTCGCATTTCAGGTGGCTCTCGAAGTACGTAACTTGCCCAAAAATTTCCTGCTACACACATAAATTTGAGTTTTGCTTACGTTTTTGAAGGAACTTGGCACTTGAGGCGAACACACACCCTCAGAGACCTGTGTGGAGAGAGGTCACATGACATCATGTGATCACCAATGACATCATCACATACTTGGGGACATCCCCGTCCTCCACGGTGGTGGTGGCTGTGAATGGAATGGAGTTGAGGAACTCTCCACTGACTCGGTAGTTCATGAGTGTGAACTGAAGGAAGAGAGGGAGGAGGGGAGGTGGTGACAAATTCACTAATGTCCTCATTTCAGGGGTGTCCTTAGAGAGAGGTTCCACTATACACACAAGCCTCCCCTCCAGGAGAGAGGTTCCACTGTATAACCACACATACCTCCCCTCCAGGGGCCATGATGCTGAGACTTCTCTCCTTCTCAAAGTTCTCAAGATTAGCACTCTCGTGGAAATTGCAGTCGTCGAGGACAACAGTCCCGTAGCCATGACGACGCTCCGCCCGACCAATCACCAAGTCTTCGTTCAGTCCCATTCTTATCTCTACATCAGAGGCAGAGTTTACTGAGTAGGTTACTGAGTAGATTACTAGGTATAGTTTCTGAAACATTACTATATGGGTAGTATACTGATAGATTACTGAGTAGTATACTGACCTGGTTGGCCACCGAGGAAGTTCCTCATTTGTATGCAGCCATCGAGATGGGATCTAAGAATGTTACCCTGACAAAGGAGGGAGAGAGGAATTCATAATTATTGTAATTGTCAATGCATGTACCACATTACTTCATTGGACTTTCACACGCAATAAAAATTATCACTCTAATAATTATGTACAGCACGTTTTAAATGGTCCTTTTTTCCCCTGCTAACCCCAAAAATACTAAATTTTGATGGTGAGTATAATATAAAGTTTATGAAGAAAAAAAACTCACTGTTGGGGCAACTAGTATTGTCAGCCTCTCCAGTAAATCAACAAATATCTCGTTCTTCTGTGTCCTCTACAATAAACATTACATCATAATTACACAATCTACATTGCACTACACACTAACCATAGACTCGACGGAGGTTGCTATGGGCTTGTTGGCGGCGTGTGACGGGAGGGTTTTCCCCGGCTGTCGTTGTAGCGGCTTGTCGTACGTCACATTGCACGGTTGGTTCGAAATGTAAGACTTCAGTACCTCGGTTGACGTTGCTTGGGGATAGCCGAAATCCTGGGGAGAGGAAATGCATGAGATTATTAGCACTGCACTCTCCAGCTATAGTGAAGGTATTCAGGATGTTTAGTTGGTCTGTCCTTCCCCTCCACTTGCTTGCTAAAAGTACAAACAATTTAGGCCACCCTATTCTTTCACAAGGTATTCAGGATGGTTGGTTTGCCTGTCCT